GGTTTATTTTTATTTATTTATGCATACAAGAACTGGGGTGTAGTGTAGGGGGTATGTGTGTAAGAGGATTCAACAGAGACAGAGTGGGAAGCAGAACAGGTAGATCTACTGAAATACACTGCTGAGGGGAACAGCAGGGAGACGGGAGAGGTCTGCTGCGCCATGTGGGTAGCTCCCTGGCCGGGGATCGAACTCATGCTGCAGTGGCTGCAGAGAGCTGCATAGTGCGAGACTTAACCCCTTGTGCCACCAGGGAGGCCCCTGAAATTAATTTTTAACCCTAACCAAGCTGTTAGGTTAACAGCTCTCTGGGCTAATGAAATGGCATTCGTCATGAAGAGGTCATGGGCATGAGGGGATCACGAGTTCAGAGCTGGCGTGACCTGAGAGAGCAGGTAACTCTCTCCCAGGCCTATAATGCTGCTGGGTTAACACTGCTTAAGTAGAGCCTCCACCTGTTCCTCAGGGAGCTCGCCAGACCCTGTCCCCGAGACTGGCTCCCTTGTGCTGAATTGCATAAGCTTGAATAAACTCTTGCTTGGCACCTGTAGGATTGGTCTCCGTTATTTCTATTTCTCAGAGAACTCAAGAGCCCAGAATCTGGTACCAATAATACCCTTTTCTATGGAGCAAGGTCTATGCAGAGAGAACCATAAGTGCACAATTTGGGGGTGCTCAGGTTCTCAGTCACAGAAGCTGCTTAGAACCAAACACCAAGATGGCCCTTTCTCTCCTGATGTTGGGTTATGGGTGCTGCTTCTAACTCCTGCAGCTCGTTAGACCCCATAACTTCCGGCAGGCTCAGCTTATTCCACACACCCCACTCTCTTTCCCCTAGTGTATCCCCAATGGCTCATTTTAAATTTGTAATTGAAGTATAATTCATCTACTATAAAGGTCTCCCTTTTGAAGTGCATAGTTCAGTGGTTTTTAGTACAAAGTTGTACAAATGTCAGCACTATCGCCCACTATCTAATTCCAGAACAATCTCTTCACTTCAAAAAGGTCTCACTCTTTTTTTACTGCTGTGGGTGGCAGTTTGGGCAAGGCCGGAGTGGAGGAGCCGGGATCGGGGAACACTGGGTTCCCTTTCCACCCCCTCCCCAAAATCATCTGTGTGTAGGTTTTAAACCCAAAACTTAATTTCATCTGAAGCCCATATGGAGAGAGAGAGAGAGAGAGAGAGAGAGAGAGAGAGAGAGAGAGAGAGTGTGTGTGTGCATGCTTCAGATGTCAAGGTGGGGTCCTAGGAAACCTGCTGGGGCAGATGAAGTCAGGGAAGGGGACAGGCCCCAACTCAGTGGCAGTGTCCCCTAACCTCTAGTCTCAATTCTGCAGTCCACCTGCTAGGGTTACAGCTCATGAGTCTGTCCTTGAAACAGAAAAGTCTTGCAGGGAGGATTCCTCACATTCTTATCAGCTCAGCCCAGTTCTTGAGGTAGCTTATCTCAGAGGCCCTGAGGGAAGGGAAGAGTGTGTTCTGGGTCCCAGGGAGGAGTGGGGAGGGGAGAGAGCCAGGCTGACCTTTTGGGAGCTGATTTTGGAGCTGGAGAAGGAAGTAAGACCACAGGTTTTAGCAAATTTCAGCAGTGCACACTGCACTGTCCTAAGCCTCCGTGTCCTTCCTTAACCTTTTTCTTTTTTTTAAAAAAAAGATTTATTTATTTATTTATGCATACAAGAACTGGGGTACAGGCCAGAAGTGCAGGGGTGTGTGTGTGAGAGAATTCAGCAGAGACAGAGCGGGGAGCAGAACAGGCAGATCTACTGAAATACACTGCTGAGGGGACCAGCAGGGAGACAGGAGAGGTCTGCTGCACCATGTGGGTACCTCCCTGGCCAGGGATCAAAATCGTGTTGCAGAAGCTGCGGATAGCTTCATAGTGCTGTGCTTAACTACCCTTGCACCACCAGGGAGTCCCCTTCCTTAACCTTTGAGAAATACATTAAAGAATTCCCTTGGGCCTCCCTGGTAGCTGCAGTGTGAAGCTGTTCGCAGCCTTTGCAGCACGGGTTCGATCCCGGCCAGCTGGAGAGAATCCCACAAGGTGGCAGCAGACCTCTCCTGTCTTGCCCGCTCAGCAGTGTATTTCGTGAGCCTGCCTGTTCTGTTCCCCACTCTGTCTCTGGTGACTCCTCTCACTCTCCCGCGCATTTTATATATATAAAAAATCTTAAAAAAAAAATAAAAAGAATTCCCCACAATTTCCCAGACCAGGCCTGGAGTGGAAAGAAAACAGAGTTGTAAGAGACCGTAGCACGAGACCGTATTAGACAGTGCTCTCAGGATCAGAGCCTGCAGAAAGGAAGGAAACAAGTGCACAGAGGAAGAAGTTGGCATTTCTCCCATAGAAACACAAAAGTGAATGACACGCCCAAGGTTAACATCTCTGCACTAGCATATAAATACATTGCAACACGATGGCTGTGGGTTTCAGTTGTGTGTGGGGGTAATTGGTACATAATGAGACATGTATCATTTAAACCATTTTTAACTGTACAGCTCATTGTTGGCATGAAGCACATCCTCACCGTTGTGCAAGTGTCACCTGTTTTGTTTTTCAAGAGAAGCGGCCTCTGCACGAGATTCACGTGAACTCTGGCGCTGGGCACTGGACTCAATAGCTGCCTGTGGCAAGGCCCTCTGCTGGACCTCGGTCCTGCTGCCTCCTGCTCAGGCCTTGCTGTCCCCCGGAGCCCCTCAGGATAAGCTCTTTCACCTGGTCCCAGGCCTGGGGAGAGAGCTAAGGGTGGGTCTGCCAGGAAAACACCTCATTCACATTCTGCCTGCCTTGGGGGTGAGGAAGTTTACTCTGCTGTAGGGACAGCCTGCTGGGAGTGGGTGGCAGGACTTACTGTGCTCTGAGGAGTTTGTTATTGGGGTGAGGAGGGGGATGGCTATAGGTGGGAGAGTAAGAGGACAGGTGAGGAGCCCAGAGTCCATCAAATTTGAGGCTGTTTGCTCTCTGGCCTGTGACCAAGGAACCAGGCCTCTGTTAACTGTAGCCAGAAAGAAGGTAGAGGCTGGCAGTCCACACCCCTGGGGCTGGGTGGGAGTGAGGTGCAGTCAGTAGACCGTCAGGGAGGAAGGGAATTAGCCATCACTGGGGCCAGCAGGTGGATCCTCTCACCTGCCCTCAGTTTGTCTTACTAACCTTTGCTCCAGGGCAGCCCCACATCACCGGCTCTGAAGCCTGAGCTCACATCAGTTCCCATGAAGTCTGATTAGAGCCTGCTGCCCACTTTGCCCTCCTACAGATTACCCCACCTCACTCTCACCAGGATTTTGGGGGCCTGCCATCACTGCCTTGGATTTGCTTTCAAGCCAAAGGAAAGTGACTAAGGAGCTGAAGGAGTGCGACCCCTCGCGGTCCCTTGCAGGATTACACCCTTTTCATTGATTTTATTCTTCAGACGCTCACTCGGGGCATGGAGCTAAAGACTTATTTCCAAAACCTGGCCCAAAGATCACTCTGTCAGGAGAACTTCAGAGAGAATGTTCATAACAGTGAGATCAGCCATCCTAAGAAGCGAGTCACCGAAGACAGATCCTGCACATAACTGGAGACATTTGGGGATCTCCCAGGTAGCCAAGGACTTAGCGACCTGGGCTCCAATTGGGGTAGGTGGATTCCAAGAATTTGCTTTTCAAACTAATAGCCCACATGAATCTGATGCAGGGGGTTCCAGTCACCCCGGGGAAACGTGGGTTCTAATCTAAGAGGCAGGGGACGAAGGGCCTGCCCTTTCTGAAGGGCAGAAAGGAAGGGAGGAAACATTGCCTACCTGGATTGCTAACATGGTCTCCTAGGTAGGTGGTGGGTGCTAAGAACAGTGTTTGAGAAGCCGGGAATATCTGTTAGGGTGAAAAGACAGGTGGACTCCCCCCTTTAAAGGGTTCCCTTGCCTTGGTGAGGCACCTGTGTCGGATGAGCCTGCTGTGGTGGGGACTGCTACCTTGTCCAGAAAGGAAGGGCAGAAAGGAAGGAACATTGCCTACCTGGATTGCAGGTGGGAGTGTAAGATGCTGTGGCCGATGTGGAAAAGACTTTGCTGGTTCCTCAAGCCTTTACATGTAGAAACCACTGTATGGGGACCTCCCTGAGGATGCAAGGGGTTAAGTTGCAGCACTATGAAGCTATCTGCAGCCACTGCAGCATGAGTTTGATCCCCAAGCCAGGGAGCTACCCACATGGCACAGCAGACCTGTCCTGTCTCACCTGCTGCTCCCCTCAGCAGTGTATTTCAGTCAGTCTGCTGTTCTGCCCCCTACTCTGTCTCTGTTGAATCCTCTCACCCCCAGCACCTCTGGCCTGTACCCTAGTTCTTGTATGCATAAATAAATCTAAAAAAAAAAAAAGAAACTACTGTATGACTGAGCAGTTCCACCCTCAGTGCACATACACAAGAAAATGGACAGGGACTTATGTGAATACCTGCCCACATGCCTCTACAGCAGCGCCATTCACGATAGCCAAGACGTCGAGACAACCCAAATGCCCATTTTTGGATGGAAGGATGAACAAAATGTGGGCCCCTACAGTGAAAAATCACTCAGCCAGGGATGGGAACAAAGCACTGATTGCTGCTGAAAACACGTGCCAGGTGACACAAGGTGATGCTGTGAGGTTCTACTTCCATGACATGTCCAGGATAGAGATAGCGAGCAGATGGGTGGCTGCCTGGGGCTGGCGGGAGGAGGGAATGACAGTGACTGCTTAGGGGGTACGGGGTTACCTTTTGGGGCGGTGAAAATGTTTCTGGTGGTTGCACAACTTTGTGTATGTACTCAATGTCACAGATTTGTTCATGTAACATAATTTTGTTATATAAATTTCACCCTATCAAATAAAAAGAGGAGGGAGTAAGAAATAGGGATAGATGCCAAGGATCAAGGAGTGGGCAGGGGTGCCCAGCACTGTCCAGAGAAAGGGACAGAGCAAGTCTGAGCTCCCCACCCAGCTGGGGAGATGTCTGTCCAGACTCGCCAATGTCCTTTGCTCTCTCTACTCACCAAGCAACCTTCTGATTACTAACATGGTCTCCTAGGTAGGTGGTGGGTGCTAAGAACAGTGTTTGAGAAGCCGGGAATATCTGTTAGGGTGAAAAGACAGGTGGACTCCCCCCTTTAAAGGGTTCCCTTGCCTTGGTGAGGCACCTGTGTCGGATGAGCCTGCTGTGGTGGGGACTGCTACCTTGGTCAGCCAACATCTAGTAAGCGCCTCCTCCAGCCAGGCACTGGTGGTGGGTTCTGGGAATTCAGCAGTGGACATGATGGACACAGTCCCTGCCCGCAGGAGGCTTACGCTCCAGTCTTCAAATCACACACAAGATGAACTCAGCAAGGTGAGGGGCCGACAGGCAGGCTCCATGAATGGCCGCTCTTCTCACTAACCTGGGTGAGGTGCTGGTGACCATTTCTAAGAATTCATCTTCCTCCTCCCAGCAGCAGTGACGGCTGCCTCTTCCCTCAGACTTGCAGTCTGTGGCCTCTTACCAAGACATGGCAGCTGCACCTGCTCCCCCTTGCCCCTTCTTGCCCCCTGGGGCCTCTTGATCTTCCATGGCGATAAAGTCCACCCAGCATCTCTGCCCCAACTTCTTCCACAACCCTGTGTTTCACTAGCACTGGAGACACAGTAATGAAGCCTTCTAAACACAAACCTCTTCTTTATGAGAGTGTTTTTTTTTTTTTTTAAATTGGCGTGACAGGGCTTGGATCTTGGACAGCTTGGTTGATGAGGCAAACCACAAAGGTTGCAGGGTGGTCATCCGGTCCCACAGACCGCGCCTCTCTAGCCACACTTGTTTCTGAACCCAAACAGCCACCTCGTTCCAGAATCTGCCTTAGATGGTGAACCGGAAGCACGGGTCTTTTCTCTCTTGCCTCCGACCCTCCCTGGCCTGATCTGTCACTTTGAAGATGTTTTTAGTTGATTTAGTTTAAAGCTAGGCTGAGTCAGGTAGGAGGGATGTTGGGAAAGAGGATGTTTCTGGGGTGTGATGATCTTCTTGACCTGGGTGCTGGTGCCCGGATGTGGCTGCGGGTAGAGTTTTCTTAGGCTGTATAGGGATGATCTGATTACTTTTCGATTGTATATTTTACTTGAAGCCAAAATGAAAGTGGGGGCAATGTGCTAAGAGGCACTGATGTTTTTCTCAGTGTTCTTTATGATGTTTAAACTGGAGTGATCCTGCAGACATTAGCGTAGAGGGTTGGTCAAACAACATTCCAGACAGCTACAAATTAAATATTAGACAGTCACTAGGCATGTGGGTAAGGATGTATATTTATTCACTTAGGAATGTTAAGTAAACAATATAACATGAAATAAGTTAGAAAAGAAAGTATATTCCAAAATATTAAAAGTGATCATCTCTGGGCAATAGAAAAATATGCAGAATATTGGTATTAATAAAGTTAACTAATCTGAGGAGCGTGTTAGACACAAATTCCTGAGCCCCCACCCTCAGAGATTCTCAGTGGTCTCCCCAAGCCTCAACCACATCCACCCACCTGGATTCTTTTGGAGGCACAGTCTGGTTCCTACCATTTTGTGGGGGCCTTGAACTGGTTTGAGAATCTGATGTAAACGATGAACCCTGTCCTGAAAAATGAATGGACACAACAAATCCTGGATACAACGAGGGGGTGCCTCAGGCCTCAGTTGAGAACCCCTAATGTAGACTGGGAGATCAGCCTCTGCCTCATTTTCCTTTTTGCCTCAGAAACAGCCTTGCTCCCAGGTCCCAGGAGAGGAGGAGCCGTGCAGGGCAGCGCAGATGCCTGGGCGGGGCCAGGCCAGAGCACATTCCTTCTGTGTGTCTTGGGGTCGCTGGTTCCATCCAGAGGGGATCCTCAGTGGGGCATGCAGGTGGTGGCCCCAGAACTAGGCTGTGCCACCCACCCATGTTCTCATCCCGCCTCCCACTGTGCACCTGCTCCCTCCTGCCACGTTCTGCTCTTGCTCCAGGGGACGCAAGTGCCTGCTCGCCCACCACACCAGTTCTACTGAGGCTGCTCCCCCCATGTTCACACACTCCCCCCCCTGTTAATATCCACAGCGCAAGTCCATTTAGCCTGCATGTGCACGGTTCTCTCCCGCTGCTCTTGGCCCCCACAAGGAGATGGGCAGATTTCACTTCCTACATGTGGGAAGCGGGTCAAGGCCCTGGCTTGTGTATTTCATGGGGTTCTAGGCAGCACCATAAGCTTTCAGGCCCCAAGAACATTTTTGAGCAGATCTGAACATGGGGTGTCCACTTTGGGCACATGCCCCGGATGGAGCGTGGCTCCTGAGAGGCAAGTCTGAAGAGCCGGCCGTGGCCAGCAGATGGCATCACCGGCCGACCTGCAGGCCCAGCTCTTCCCGGGAAGCCATCTCCCTCAGGATCCCCTTTCACCTTCAGGCCCAGATCTGGCTCCACCGGGCCTGCAGGCCAGTCCTTTCTCCAAGACAACTGCAATCCTGAAACCTGGGGGCGCCACCTGTGGTGGGGTCACTCCTCCCCTAACAGCCATGCTTGTCCCCAGTTTTGTCCAGAGGAGCACTTGGCTCCGAGTCCCTGCTGCTGCTCTTTCCACCCCTCTCGCCTTGGGCTCCACAGTCCAGCTGCCAGGCAGGATGAGGGGAGAAAACACGATAGAGGCAGGCGAGGTTTCTCTTAGGCCTGGCATAATAAAAAAAACCAAATACTTTTCCTTCTTTTAATATCTAAGATGAAAAATATCAAAAATCCAAAGACCAACAGCCAAAACCATCCATCTGAATGTGGGCCTCAGGCCCCCTTTCCAGTGCTGTTCAGAAGAAGCGGCACCTCTGGGCGGCTCTGGGGCCCGGGCCTGGGGCGGGCCCAGTGGTGGCCAGAAAACATCTGGCCATTACCCATCACCGGGGACAGCAAGGCCCACGTTTCAGAGGGGCCATCAGAAATGTTTCTAAAACAGTGGTTGCACCAAGAGGAAGTTTTCCCTTGAGGGTGAGCTGAGGGTTATTTCTTGTGGAGAAACTTCATTTTATTGCCTAAAAAAAGAAAAGGAGGTTTCACCAGGAGGACAGAGAACTGAGTTGAATCCAGCCCGCTTCACCCCAGGTGTGGTGTGGACAGCTGTGGCTTGCGCCCACGTGCCCAGAGCCTCACCCCAGTGTTCAGGAGAAGTTGGGGGAGAGACATTTCCTGGAATCACCCACTCCCCCCAGCTCCTCGTGTACCTTCCTCGTGCAAGGGATCTCCCTCGTCTAGGGGAATTCTGACAGGATGAGTGTCAGAGCTGTTGAGGAGGGTTTGAGTCTGGAATGGTAACACAGACATCCCTGAAGAGCCAAGTGAGGAGAAAACACCTGGCAGTGTGTGTGTGTGTGTGTGTGTGTGTGTGTGTGGGAGGGGTGGTGTGCATGTGGGGGTGTGTGGGGAGATGTGTGTGGTATGTGTGTACTGTGTGTGTGTAGGGCAGGTGGTGGTCCTCATCACCACAGGTTTATCTTCCCAGGGTTCTTCTGTCCCTCCTTCCTATTTTTTGCTTTCTTCTTTATCATCTCTTTTCCAGTAAAGGTTTTTTTTTTACTGATTAGGCCAGCGTCCTTATAAGCCTGACATTTCCACTTTCAGGGGCATATGGAGGCTGGTCCAGGTCTCTACTGCCAGAAATCTCTTATTTTCTAAGCTCAACTCCCCAGAAGATTTAAGAGTGGGAGAGGTAATAGTGTCGAAGACAGCAGGGGCCCAGGGGGGCACACGTGTCCCTTTTTACATGTTGGGACAGGACGGTGAGCCTGGGGCTTACCTAGTCCCTTGAGGAACTTGTTGACTCCACTGTGCTCTCCGCTGGGGAGAGTTTCCAGGTACTCCTGGGCTCGGACCTCAAACAGCCCTGTTGACAAAAGAACCCCCTGCTATTTTAGTCCCTTGTGCCTGGAAACAAGTCCACCTCCGATCGCCACGGGAAAGACAAGCCCTGCTTGGGAGACAAGCTGCTCCTATAAACTCGCTCCCCATCAATCATAAGGTTTATAAAAGTTTTTATTACCCTTCTAATGGCCCAATCTTTTTTTTTTTTTTTTTTTTTTTTTTTTTTTAAAAGAGGCACTAGACTTGGGACATTTTATTTATTTATTTATTTGTTTGTTTATACATGCACTGGGTACAGTCAGAAGCGCGGGAGGGTGAGAGAATTCACCAGAGCCAGAGCAGGGAGCAGAGCAGGCAGAAGGACCGAAGTACACTGCTGAGGGGAGCAGCGGGCGGCAGGAGAGGTCTGCGCGCCATGTGGGACCCTCCTCCGGTGGCCGGGGAGCAGCCGGGGATCGAACCGGCGCCGCAGAGGCTGCGGGCAGCTTCGCAACCCAGCGCTCAACCGCTGCGTCACTGGGGAGGCCCTAATGGCCCAATCTTGTGCAATAACTGTCTTGGGAAATCTGTAAAGGGAGCTGGTCATGAAATCCTATTTTTTGTTCAACAAACACCTTCCAAGAGTCCCCATTGGGCCAGGCAGGCAGTTTCAAAGGTGCACCAGGTAGATCTGGCTCTCAGGAGCTCTTGCAGCCCCCTTCTCTCACCTTCTTCTCTACGAGGGAGCCTGGCCAAGTGGCATCCGCCACTTGTGGAGTCAGGAAGGTGGACGGGCCACCTCTTAGGCCTGCAGCTCTGACCCCTGTCTGTCTGCATCGCTCACTGATCTCCCAGGGACAGAAGACCCCTTCCATGCAGCTGGCATGGCTGCCACCTCTCAGTGATCTGCAAGCAGGCATCTGTTACCCAGCTTGTTTCCTATTTAAAAGGATCCTCTCATGGGCCTCCCTGGTGGTGCAAGGGGTTAAGTCTCAGCACTATGAAGCCATCCGCAGGCACTGCAGCATGACGTCAACCCCCGGCCAGAGAACAACCCACATGGCACAGCCGACCTCTCCTGCTTCGCCCACTGCTCCTCTCAGCAGTGAATTTCAGTCAATCTGCCTGTTCTGCTCCCCACTCTGTCTCTGGTGAATCCTCTCACCCCCCGCGCCTCTGGCCTGCACCCCAGCTCTTGTATGCATAAATAAATTAATGTTAGGAAAAAAAGAAGGGCAGCAGGGATGAGAGGAGGCCCAAGGAAAAGAGGGGCTACTGAGAGAGGAAGGAAAGGTGTCCTCAATGTTTCCTCAAGCTGGGTAGACTAGAACTGGAATTTGGTTCTGGGAGAGGCCCACAGAGGGAAAAGAGATGTGGGAGGAGAAAGGCAGAACATCAGGGAAGTATTCACCAGCTCAGAGGTGGCCAGAAAGAATGTTCTCAAAAGAGTAACATAGACATTTCTTCAAAGAAGATGTACAGATGGCCAACAGGCCCATGAAAAAATGTTCAATATTACTTATATTCAGGAAAATGCATGTCAAAGTCACAATGAGATAACCCCTCAATTCCATGAGCATGGGCGGTATCAAAAAATCCCAGAAACAACAACTGTTCCTGAAGGTGTAGAGAAAAAGGAGCCTTTTACACCGCAGGTGGGAATGTAGACGGGTCCGGCACCTCCAGAAAACAATATGGAGGTTCCTCAACATATTAAAAATAGATGTACCACATGACCCAGCAATTCCTCTCCTTGGTATTTATCTACAGAATGCAAAAACGCTCAATCAAAGGGATATATACAGGCCTGTGTTCACTGCAGCACTCCTTCTAATAGCCAACAGCCTAAGTGCCCACCAACAGATAAGGAAGGTGTGGCATATATACACAATGGAATAGTACTGAACTATAAAAAAGAGATACTATTTTTTAGCAACATGGAAGCAAAGAGGGACTGGATAATGCTAAGTGAACTAAGTCAGAAGGAAAAAGACATATACCAGATGCTTATGGTGAACACAGAGAGCCAAAACACAGAAACAGAGAGAACTAAATGAAAACCTAACTGCAGATTTGCGGATACTATTGATAGATGGGGAGGGTGGGGGTAGAGGGCAAAGGACCCTGATTGTCTTCAGTGGAGGATTATGGGTGCCTTGGTGGTATGGTGACATACATCTGAACAGGTGCAAATCTGCTCCCCTGAATCATTTATAGTGTTGCCACCAATCTTACTGCAATTTTAAAAAGTTTAATTAAAAACAAAGAATGTTCTCAAGAAAAGACTGGAATGTGCTCCCACCGCGCCCTGGGCCCATGACCTTTTCTCTGCTCATCAGTCACCTGGGGTCTGGGTTTCTTGAGCTGCCTCCACCCTAACCTGGTGGGCACCCCCTAACCTTTGACATCCTGCCGGCGCAGCTCTCGCTCCTGGATGAAACCCCGAAATGTCTGGGTCTCCATGAACACCTCCAGGAAGCGGCGGAGGCTCTTGGAGGACACGGCCTTGCGGAAAGCCTCGCGCTGCAGGGTCCTCTCCTCGCGCTCTCCGGCCGTCAGGAACAAGGAGTAGTGGCCCACGATCTCCACGAAGAAGCGGACGAAGGCTTCAGACACCACCTCGTTCAAGGGGCTGGACTCAGGGCCTGAGCAAAGTGGGGAGAGTCAGAGCCGGTGAGGGCAGGGCTGAGCAGAGCCTCGGGGATAAGCCAGTTAGTAAGATGAGCGACTGCCGGTCCCTCCACGGCAAATTGGAATGATCCGTGGAAAAGGCTGACACAGTGGTCAGCCCCTTTAAACAGATATTTCAGAGGAGGGAGGTGGGAGAAAGAGTTCCCAGAATTTATGGTTTGAATGAAACACAGGAAAGGGCTCACACATTGAGCTCCTCCCTTGTGTGCATCTCTTGCCCATTTTCCTACTTCGCCCAATGAATGCCGAGGGGAACAGAGGCCCAGTGTTCACCTGCAACCTGACTCTTAACAGGGGGAGGGGGAGATGTAACGTGGGAGGTGGCTGGGCCTTTACCATGCTTGCAGTCCAGGGGTCCTTCATCCTGGTCACTAGCCAGGTCGTTCCTTTGTTCCAGAATGTGTTCCAGGGCTACCTGAAGCTTCCGGGGTAGAATGGAATCCTCGTCGTCCATCTGTAGGCAGAAAAAGCAGGCAGACCATCAGACCTATGCTCTGGGGAATGTGGCTGCATCCCGACCAGCTGGACACCTGGGCACCAGTGCAGGGCAGGCTTGAAACAGTTCCCGTTTAGGGAACTAAAACCGGTTCTCAGAAGGAAGGTGACTTAGAGTCAAAAGTTTTGAAAATCGAATCTACAGTCCACTTTTTACAATCTGTACAAGCCTCAGATTCCCCATTTATAAAACGGGCGACTGCCAATGCTATCTCATTGTGAAGATTAAATGATATATGTAAGACATCAATTAAAACAAATAAAGAAGACACTAATGGAAAGCTATCCTGCATTCATGGAATGGAAGAATTAATATTGTTAGAGTATTCATACTACCTAAAGTCCATTCAATGTAGTCCCTATCAAAAATTTAATGGTATTTTTTTACAGATGTAGAAAAAACAATCCTAGCCGCCCCCTCAAAAAAAAGGTAGAAGGAAAATAATCTTATACAGTTTGCATAGGATTACAAAAGATGCCGAATAGCCAAAGCAACTCCAAGAAAGAACAAAGCTGGAGAAATCACAATTGCTGATTTCAAACCTTATTACAAAACTATAGTAATCAAAATGGTATGTTTCTGGCATAAAAACAAACACAGACTAATGGAACAAAATTGAGAACCCAGAAAATAACTCCTGCATATCTGATCAATAAATGGTGTTGGGAAAACTGGATATTCACCTGCAAAAGGATGAAAGTGGACCTCTATCCTACAACACTCATAAAAAATAAACTCAAAGTAGGGTTCAAGATGTAAATATAAACTGTAAAACTGTAAAACTACTAGAAGAAAACATAAGGGAAAAACCTCCTTGACTCTGGCTCAGCAATGATTCTTTTCTATTTGATACCAGAAACATAAGCAACAGAAGCAAAGTAAACTAATTGGAACTACATCAATCTAAAAAGCTTCTGCACAGCCAAAGAAAGAGTCAGCAAAATGAAAAGTCAATGTATGAAATGGAAGAGAAAATATTTGCAAACCATTTATCTGATGAGTTGATAGTCAAAACATGTAAGGAACTCAGCAGCGAAAAAACAATAATCCAGTTTTAAAAGGCAAAGGGGGGCCTCCCTGGTAGTTAAATCTCAGCACTATTTTTTTTTAGATTTTTTTTTTTATATTCCCTATACAATTGCATCTCCCTTATTTTGACCTCAATCCCTCCTCTCCCCACCCCCACCCCCCATAGTGTGTCTCTGGTTCATAGTTGTTTGTTGATTTTGATTTTTTCTTTCTTATAGTTATTCTTTTTCCTGTTCCCTTATTTAGGTTTTCTAGATTCCTGCTATGAGTGAGACCATCTGGTATTTTTCTTTTTCTTTCTGGCTTATTTCGCTGAGCATGATCCCTTCCAGCACCATCCATGTTGCTGCAAATTGCATGAGGTTATCTTTTTTGATTGCTGAAATCTCAGCACTATTAATTGAGCTCAATCAGCATGAGTTCAATCCTCAGCCAAGGAGCTGACCCACATGGTGCAGCAGACCTCTCCTGTCTCACCTGCTGCTCCCCTCAGCAGTGGATTTCAGTAGATCTGCCTGTTCTGCTCACCACCCCCGCCCTCACACCCCTGGTCTAAACCTCAGTTCTTGTATGTATAAATAATTAAAAAAAAAAAAAGTCAAACTTGTAGGAATAGAGAGCAGAACGGTGGTTGCTGGGGTGGAGGGTGGAGGAAATGGAGAAGTAAATGCTGGTCACAGGCACAGCTGAGCAAGATCTGTACATAACTTTGTGTCCTGATTTTCTCCAACTTAATATTATATCATGAACTTTATTTTCAAAGACTCTTTAAAGCTGGTAGAAAAATACAAGTGTCTATCGTTAAGACCTCTACCAAGATTCTAACTGTTAGAAAGCCATTTTGTGATAGAACCACTAAGCCCCTCCTCTTTGGTCCCTGCCATCTGGCACTTCCACAGTCCACCCTGGCCGCTTGCCCAGCACGCCATCCTGCTCTGGGGCCCACCAGGAGCACCAAGGACCTTTCCAGAGCTGGAAAATTGAGCTCCATCAATGAAGAGACAACAAAGAGCAGCTGGTTGCGGTGGCTCACTTACCTGCCGGAGGAACCGATTGTTGACAAGGTCGACCACAAGGACCTACAAGACAAGGAAAGGGATGTCACTGTCACCAGGGCTGCCGGGACAGAGCGACAGACTCTCAGCACTCAGAGAGGCGGCTGGGGCGCGGGTGGAGTGGGCCATGTGACTTCCTGATGTTGCTGCTGTGGCCACAAATGATGAAGGGGGGAAGTGGGGGGCGGGACCCTCCTGAATTGCAGGCTCTCCGCGCTGAAACCGCAGGCTGGGAACGGGTGTGCCAGGCGGATGCGCTGCCCTGTTCCCAGGTGGTCTGAGGCAGGGCTTCTCGGGCTGGCTCTCTTAGTGTGTGGGCTACCGAGGTGGCAGAAGGGCCACAGACCCCACTGGTTCCCATTCCACTGGACTCCACCATGCCCCACCCCCCAAGGCTTTCCCCTCTTTCCTCCCAGTTACCCTTCAGCTGTGCTTTAGTGGGACCGGAGGAGCGCACCCTGGCGGAGGGGCCCATCTGGGGTGCAGAGCACGCTGCAGGCAGTGGGCTGTCTGTAGCACAGGCTTCAGGGAAAGCACCTTCCCCTCCATACTTGAGACTTGGCCTGCAGGACGCTGAAGTGAGAGCCTCTCCCCCCACCCCCAGGCTTGATGGCTGGGACACTGGCTATGGAGAAGAGCAGGGGGCCTGGGTGGGTGGCCACCATGGTTCCACCAACAGCTGGAAAAATTTGGCCCCAACACATCCCAGACACCCTGCAGAGGAACTGAGGGGCTCTCTCTTCCCTCCTAGACATTCCCTTCCAGGATTGACCCGAGTTATTTTAGGGGTCTCAGTGTACCCAGACAGACACTGTGCACTTCACAACCTGCACCCAAAGACCTGCATCTGCTGGTTAATATTTAATGATTTAGGGTTCTCTGGTCAGACACACCACATCTGGGGACCCGGGAGAATTTGAGAGCTAGTAGCTCCCCTGGGGTTTCAGGCCTGGGGGCCTCATTTGACCCCCTACGGTTCCCTCTGACTGCTGGGACCAGTCAGTACTCAGGGGCAGAGGCCATCCAGAGGAAGGGGCTGGGATGAGATCACTGCTGAAATGCCAACAGGACCTTCCCCGCTTGGCCCCTAACCTGGAAAGCCAAAACTCGGACACTAACTACAGTTTGTTGTCTTCTCAAGCGATATGAACAAGGACCTATCTGCAGGTGCAGTCTTTGTCAACTCCATTACAAGTCCAGATATAAGTTCCAGGTTTTGTTAGCTCTCCGTGCGCTTTCTCCCTCCCTGCTGGGCAGCTGGAGGGGAGGGGGTAGGGCAGATGGGCTAAGTGTTTTAACATCAGGTTGAATTGTTAATCGCTGCCCTTCTCAATGGGTGTTCGCGCCAGTAGGTTCATCTAGAGGGGAAAACTGAGTCTGCAGCTACGGGTGGCCAGAGGCAGACTTGTCTGGCTCATGGACAAGGCCAAGGCTCCCCCTGCTCCCCTGACCCTGCTTGCTGGCCCAACCTTACCCAGCATCTCCCCTCTGCCCTCTGCCCGCACAGGAGGGAACAGGGCACATCCAGGGCTCACCTCTTCCAGTGGCAGCTCCCTGAGCAGAGGCAGCGAGCTGGTGAGCAGCCCGATGAGGAAGGGGGTGGGTGAGCACACGATGTCGATCATGGCGGGCGGGAGCACCGGGATGTAGGTGTGCTGCCAGGCGAAGGGGTAGATGACCGCCACCATGGCGTGGCAGCACTTGGACAGCGTGCTGCAGTTGGGAGACAAGGGGAGAAGGGCCGATTCAGGGAGGGGCCCGTGCAGGCCCCCAGGTTGGGAAGGCCCCTGGAGAGGTCAAGTTGGTCAGAAAAGACGGCAGGTACGTTTGAGGTCATACAGTCCCAACAGAGGTGAAAACAGACACAGGTAGCCTGAGACATGGTGTCAGGGATGACCTGAAAGCTCTGGCTGATTTTCACAAGTGTCCCTTCACACTGTCACTGGGTCACGCTCTCTCCTTGCCTCCTGCCCCCCAACAACTCCCCCCAAAACAACCAACACCTCTTTTCTCAAGCATGGACGTTCAACCCTCCTGTTGGAAACGCTTCCTGTTCTCACATAGTAACTGGTTCTTTGTTCCCTCCCAAGCCTTCTCTCAGTCAAGCAACGCCACAGAGGGGCAATCATGGAGTTTTTGAGGTCCACAGGCAGCAGTCAGCTCCATATGGCTTTGTTTTGTAGAAGTGAGTCCGCTCATCACCACCCACTGAGCTCTGCACAGCATGGGTCTGAGCGCCCCCAGTTTGTTGAGTGAGTGGACACATCACTCAGGATTACCCTTGAACATCAGCTGTCCCCAACATCCCAAAGGCACACGGGTAAGAAAAGGCAGCACACACTCCCTGGAGTCCTGTGTGTCCCCTGTGGGTATGCTGCACCCTCTTCAGGGCCTGGCCAGGTAATTCGCATTTCATTGGTCAGGATGCCTTCGGAACCTCTGTCTCGTTCCTAGCTGTGCTCTGCTTGGGTCAAGTTGCAAGGAAGTGGAGTTCTGGACAGATGAAGGCTCCTTTACTGCGTTCCCAGGATGTCAGGCACCCCCAACCTTTCATTGTCATTAAGCTTTCCTGACCTTGCTCAAAAACACAGAAAACACTTGGCTCTGGCTCTAAGGAGAAAAGAGGTGGGTTACAAGAACCTGGCCAGTAACAGTGTACTCACAACATGGCGGAATTAGGAGGTTCTCATAAATCGCTCCCCTAAAGACAACCACTGAAAGACTACATGCTGTTCTCAGGAAATTTCACCAGCTTATCACTGGCAACGGGGGGTTAAAACAGATAATTTGCTTTGAGTTTTTAGTGATGATTGACAAATAAAAATTACACATATCAATTTATACATATTACATACGTTAATTTGGGCTATATAATTGCATGTATTAATTTGGGTTAGCAAGTGAAATAAATCAGAGAGAAAAAGGCAAATAGGATTCCACTTCCATGAGGGTCTTAGAACAGTCAAATTCACAGAGACCAGGAGGCATAGAGGTTACTGGGGATGGGGGAGGAAAATGGGTTGATGCTTTATGGACACAGAATTTCGGTTTGAGATAATGAAAACATTCTGGAAACGGATTGTGGGAATAGTTGCAAACAGTGTGATGTCCTTAATGCCACTGAATTACACACTTAAAAATGGTTCCAATGGTTAAGTTTTATACTTTGCGAATTCTGCCACCGTGAAATAAAAGCAAGAAGTCACTTAACTTCTTAGTAAGCTCCTCTGAATCAGCACCCCAGAAACATCCTTGAACTATGTATTTGCCTTCTTTTCCATCCCATCTGCATTTGGGGGCTCTTGAACTTATTATAAGGGTAATGTTGAGGCTCGGCCACTTATCAGCTGAAGTCACCTAACCTTGCTCCCTTGTTTCTTTGCAAATAATCGCTGTCCTACTAATCACTGGAATCATGAAATACCTCTTAGTAGCACAGTGGCTCCATTTCGCTGAGATTTGGTCCTTATCTTTCTTTTTTAAATTCATTTTTTTTGCCTTTTCTTTCAAATAATTACTCCCAGAATGAGAAAGGTCTTTTACCCAAAGATTTAGGTCTTCTCACTAGAATACCTCATGTATTAGATGCACTCATCAGTAAGAGTGGGGCAGAGTAAGTTAGGACTTAGACCACGGAGAGCAACATCAATAATTCAGCCAGCAGGTGGGGCGACCTCTGTTTCAAAGAATCTCTCAAAGCAGAGAAAGTTTCCTAGCCTAAAGCATTGTTTTCTCCCAGCTACTTGAGAATGTGAAGGCTTTAGCAAGCTGTTAGCCAACTGTGTTTAATTTCCTTGATCTGTAGACCAGTAAATGGGTTGAATTCACTTTTTTTTTAATTTTATGCATACAAGAGCTGGGGTGTAGGCCAGACGTGTGTGTGTGTGTGTGTGTGTGTGTATGTGTGTAGTGTGAGAGGATTCACTAGAGACAGAGTGGAGAACAGAATAGGTGAATGGACTGAAATACACTGCTGAGGGGAGCAGCAGGGAGACAGGAGAGGTCTGCTGTGCCATGTGGGTAGCTCCCTGTCTGGGGATCGAACTCATGTTGCAGTGACTGCAGATAGCTTCATAGTGCCAAGACCTCACCCCTTGCACCACCAGGGAAGCTCTGAATTAATTTTTTCTAATTTTTTTTTAATTTGAGGATTAATTTGTGTTCATGTGTGGGTAAGTCCAGAGCTGATATGTGCATGAACTACAGTTGAGAGGTCATGACTTAGAAGACTAGAAAGATGTGAAAATATGGGCCTCCCTGGTGATGCAAGGGGTTAAGCACCGCACTATGAAGCAATCTGCAGCCTCTGCAGCACGAGTTCGATTCCCAGCCTGCCAGGGAGATATTCACATGGTGCAGCAGACCTCCACTGTCTTGCCCGCCGCTCCCCTCAGCAGTGTACTTCAGTCAATCTACCTGTTCTGTTCCCTACTCTGTCTCTGGTGGATCCTCTCTCCCTCCGCATCTCTGGCCTGTACCCCAGCTCTTGTATGCATAAATAAATAAATCTTTAAAAAAAAAAAGATGTAAAAATATAAGCAAGGATAGTCATTTCCAGCATCTAGGGGGAGTGCAACGCTGTGACAAGAAGATCAAATTCATTCATTTATCTGGACACGAAGAGCCCAAGGACAGCCATGTCCAGTATTGATGGGGACAAAGGCTGGCAACCTCGCGGGTAACCTGTGGGCATGTGGGTAGGTGTTGCCACAGTTGACAAATCCTCCTAACACATGGCTTGTGTTTGTTTTTAAAATAGTCTGATTCACTGCAGCAGCTGGATCCAAATGTTCCCACATCTGGTTGTCACTACCACTTTACTGGCTGGTGCATATGGGGCCTGGGGTCTCGGGGACAAAGTGACAACAGGCAGACAGTACCACAGGTGTCTCATTCCACTTGCTGTGCAACCACATCACTATCCTAAAATGTTTTGCTTCTTGAAACCCTAGAAAGGAAGGTCAAACTCTGTAAATAAGACAGTAAGTGGCAGCTCTGCCCTTAAAGTCAGTTGTAGAGGAGGAGCGAAGGGGTGATTTTGAATGTCGCATAAGTGGTTTTCTCAGTCTCTGCTGCAAGAGCTGATGAGATTTTACTCCCCAACTTGTGAAGGTGGGACTGGGCACAGCCGGCCCAGGAACATGCAGAGGACAGTCCTGGTTCTGGGGGTGCTCGGGATGATGCTGCAGCCTGCTCCCCCGAGGCTTTCTGAGCATCTGCTGCTTGGGTGAGGCAGGGTTTTTGAAGGAAGGCCACAGAAGAGTTCTCACAGCTGGCTTGCATTACGGGGGGTGGAAGGGTGTGCAGGCAAGGAACGCCAGCGCCCACAGCTGTGATCAATTTGTGCAAATGTGGGGATGGGAGGGGTATTGGGGGGGAGTTGGCTGGACCAAGAGATGGGCACTGGTAAGAAGGATTGCATCCCAGAATGTGCTGCTGTTGGGTGCTGGCTGCTGAGGGTTGAAGTGTCAGCCAGGGTGAGTGCTAAGGTCCTCCGAACATGCCTCAGTTCTGCTGCTACCAGCTCCTGTGCCATCGCGGGGTTATCGTGCTCAGCAGCCTTCCAACTTTCCAAGAGCAAAGGCCACCAGAAAAGTAAGTGATGGGTTTTGTGAGCCGGAAAGACACCCCAGGGATTTGGAGGATGATGCCATCAGCATCCACCAGCATCATAAGCAAAGTGTCTCTCCTACCAATGCTTCATTCCTGGGCACCTGGGGGACAAGCAAACCCTGGGTCTGCCCAGTGAGCGCTAGCAGGAGGTGGGAGTCACTGTGCAGCGGCTGCCACATTTCCAAGACTGTTCCTTCAAACCTGAAGTCATGTGTCACCGAGTGTGTAAGGAACACAGACTGGACCTCGAGAAAACTGGTTCTGCTACTGCACGAGTGACCTGGGTGAAGCCCTTCACTTCTCTAGGCTCACCTGTAGAACAAGCAGCCAGGTCATTTCTAATACCCGTTCAGCCTGACAAACTGAAATCGACAAAGCGCATCATCTCTGCACATCTATGAGAGCGCGGGAGAAGGCCAGGAGCAGAAAATGGGAGTCAAGAGCTGGAAGCAGCTGGACAGAGAAAAGAACCAGGTTTGTCATAGGAAGGTCGTGTTGGTGCTCGTGAGCGGGGGCAGGGCAGGAGGCAGGGGTGATACTCTGAGAAACAAAGCAAGAGAGGAGTAGGGCACTGCAGCAAGCCCCCAGAGATCACCCACAAAGCCAGCACCCCTGACTCCCAGGGAAGGACTGGGGTGTCCAGGCCCAGGTTCTGGGCGGAATGGCGCTGCAGCAGCAGACGATTTATAGCTATGCAATAGTCTCTAAATTTTGCTCCGGCTTCCTCTCTCTCCCCAGCCATCCTGGCAGCTGCTCTTGGCTGGGGGCCGTCCCACACCTAAGGCAGGAGGATGGCGGCCACAGAGGAAAAGGCCGCTGGAGTCGATCAGCTCTAGGCTCCAACTGGTTATGAAAGTGGAAAGTACGTGTGGAAAATGCTGGAGTATGTACGCTGGCATCCTCTGATGCAGGTGACTCTGATGCCGTCAGAAGCATGCCAGAACAGACTGGGGCAAAGTCAGTCATGCCAAAGATTTTCTTTAATAAAACCGGCCAAAGTTTTAAAAACATATACACGCAAATCTTGCTCCAGAGGTTAGCTTCTCTGTTTGCGTGCCAAAAAATAGGTAGTTAATATTTTATTAGATGGATGCTATTGTTATTAAAATTGCACTTTTCATAGGACTTTGTTGAATTAAAATGTGTATTTTTTCCACCCACAGGGACTATGCCCGAGATGATAAGCATACGTTGTACAAAAATGAAGAATGATGTATAAAATATATAAAAGAAAAAAGAAAAAAACATTTTTTTCTTAAGCACCAATTAGATAATGACTTCTAAACTATATTATTACTAAAATTCAAAAAAGGCAAAGGATAAAGTTAAAAAATAAATAAATAAAATGAAATGTATGTATTGCTAGGCTGTCAGTCACTCTGATGACCTCGAAGGAGTATTCTGGATGCCTGATCAAGACAGCAGCTACTGGGTCCTCCAACTGGTTCCTGGTGGCACAAGGGCTTAAGACACAGCACTATGAAGCTGTCTGCAGCCTCTGTAGCACGAGTTCGATCCCCAGCCAGCCAGGTTGGTGACCCACATGGGGCAGCAGACCTCTCCTGTCTCACCCGCTGCTCCCCTCAGCAGTGCATTTCAGTCAATCCACCTGTTCTGTTGCCCATTCTGTCTCTGGTGAATCCTCTCACGTCCCCACACCTTTGGCCTGTACCCCAGTTCTTGTATGCATAAATAAATACATCTTTTTAAAAAAAGGCAGCAGCTACTCACACTTTCTGGCAGGCGTGGGGCAAATTCTATGCACATCTATGAGATCATGCCCGCCTGGAGAGGGCATAATCACAAACCCAACCTTTCTTCTAGGATGCAAACATTGGAGGGTACAACTGATGCTAGAGAGGATATGGGACCCCCACTTAAGCTTAAGGAACCTGATTAAAAATGAGCCACAGGAACACAGAAAAAGGTGAAGGGGCACAGCTCATTTGTATGGGTCCCCCCATATATCAAAGCCAAGGTTCAAACTCTAGCAGGTGTTGATTTTGAGCACCTGATCCTACTTGTCATTAAGCAGTAGCCTGCCTTTCAGCTTATGCTCTTGATGCACCAGGAAAAGAAAACAATTTCTTAAAAATTAAAATCTGTGCCCCCTTGCAAACTCTTGCACATGTTTATGTGCAGATCTGATTTTATGACTCAGCCCAGCCTGTTGATTTAGTCCAACCTTTGGAAATTGAAATTGATAAACTAAAAAAACAAAATGTTTGTGATCAAGGAATGGAGAAAGGGGTATACTGGAAATATTTCTTTGGGTTGTTATGACAACGGAACAAGCCATCACAACAACATTCTTTCTTTTCCATCTGTCAGATTTTGGCTTGACAGAGTCTTAAGAAACACTCAATGTCCACCCTAAAGATGAAACAGAGCAAAAATGTTATGCGGAATCTGATAGATTCTTGGCTTCACTTAAAGTCCTTCTAGAACTCATACACTCTTTACCACAACTCCTTCCTCTTGCCATGGGCAGACTCCCTGGCCGGGATGATGGACTGGATTGTGTGGTGGGGGAGGCAAGTCCACCCTGGATGTCACAGGGTCACTCTCTGAGTGTGTGGCATGTCCTGTTCTCATGCACTGTCCTGTGGTCTCACAAAGATTGGGGCTACAGGCGGAAACCCAAAGAATGAGGAGGCTTGCTTCCCTGCTAGCTGAGCAGGGCTGGAAGGCAGTGCGTGTGCAGGACCATGCCAGGCGATGAGGAAGTAGGCTGAAGGCCTTCTCCACGGTAGTGGCCAGATCAGACAACTTGTAGCCAGCTGCTGAGCCCCAAGCCTTGTTTGTCATGGCCTGGCCGAAGAGCCCTTCAGTTCCCTACAACTATTTTCCCACAAATTAGACAGGACTAGGTGGACAGTGATTGTTCCAGAATGAGCACTCTGGAAGCTGAGCCAGCCAAGAAGAGGAGGGGTTCTGGCCTCCTCACGCTGGAACCTCACACATGTGACGTTCTGCTAATGAGTTGGGTGCTGTCTTTCTTCCCAGCCCAGTTAGTGCTCACTTAACAGCGTTAAGGATGACACATGGGCCTCCCCGGTGGCGCAGGTGTTAAGTCTCAGCACTATCAAAAGCAATCACTGGTCACTGCAGCCTGAGTTCGATCCCCAGCCGGCCAGGAAGCAGACCCACATGGCGGAGCAGACCTCTCCTGTCTCGCCGGCTGCTCCCCTCAGCAGTGTATTTCATTCACTCCGCCTGTTCTGTTCCCCATTCTGTCTCTGATAAATCCTCTTACCACCATCATTCCCGCACTGCACCTCTGGCCTACACCCCAGTTCTTGTATGCATAAAATGAAATAAATCTTAAAAAAAAGAAAGAAAACGACATATAGCAAACCCAGGTCCTCGAATAACATCATTCCTTTCACTGGTGGCCGGGTTGCTTTTTCTCATATTTCAGGACCTGCCATACTGGCTTATGTGATCCATAAACAAAGGATCCAAGAGACCCCAAATGACAAGGCTGAGTTGAGGCTTTCTAGAAGTGTGTTGTTAAAGGAGTAAGAGGAGAGGTGCAGAAGGTGTTCCCTGCAGTCCGCAGTGTGGCCTGGGAAGGCCATCTGGGTGTGAGATGATCCACTGCATGGTGTGTGTTTATCTTTCACCCACGTGAGGGTGCAGGTGCATGAAGTGAGCACATGACTTCTCCCCAGCTCGGGTGCCCGTGACTCGGTGGGCAGCCCTAGCAGGCACTCCCACACCTACTTGAAATCCTGAGGATTTCTGATGAATCAACTGGCCTGGGAGGGGGTGAGCACATGAGGGTGGGCGGGGTCTGGCTTTAGTACCACCCCTCTTAAGGAACTTTCATCAAAGGCGAGCACTTGAGCCAAGGAGCCCCATTTCATAGCCAGGCAAAATGGTGGTCCTCTCAGGGGATACTCTGGAAAGCACAGGAAGCCTGACTCCCTCCCCTTTTGGTTTGTGCCTCCTCCTTCATGAGGATGAGAAAAATAGAAGCTACTTTCAGCTCCCCTTCTCCAGGAAGGAAGCCTGGTGGGGAGCTGGGGCTTGACCGGCCTGCTCCTCTTCCCAGATATTCTCAGGCTGGACCTTCCCTGTCTAACACCATTAACCCAGAACAAACTCCTTGGGGACTGTGTATCCCCACTTCCACCCCAGGTGGGCCCTAGGTTTGCAGCCTTCACCCGTTGCCTAACAGTTCTGAGAAGTCTCACACTCTTCTCCCCCAAGTCAAGCTAGAGAATGCTACAGCCAGAGAGGGAAGGGGCGGAGGGCAGGGAGGGGGTGCCTAGAGAAAACAGGCAGTTACCAGAGTGCTGAGGAAATCCAAGCCTGGTCACTGAAGGGTTATTACTCATTCTTAGCTTCCAGGGGCCCAGCCTGGAGAACTCTCTCCGAATTCCCCAGTGCCCAGAAGCTTGGAGAGCCGCCCTGCGCCCAGCACCAGCTGCAGGGCCGGAGACAGGGCCTGCTTCCTGAGCTGATGGGAGCGACCAATACCTACATTCAAAACTAATAGTTAACTGAAAAAATGGTGCGAGTGGCGTGGCAGGGATAGTGGCTGCCATGCAGAGAGCATCCTGAGGGAGCCGGACGTGCCACTGGGGGAGCAGAGGGCGGGGCCCATGGGTGGTGGCCTCCTGATGAACTCCTCACTGATTCACATTGTCCCTTCCCTTCTTTTCCTCCCTCGTTTTCCACAGTTGAGAGCCACGTTTCCTCCCCAAAGCCCAGTTCTTGGACTTTTGCATTTCTGGCACTTCTTCCCAGATAGACTTCTCAGCCTCCTCTGCTTCTCCTGGTCGGCAGGCCGTCTCTGGCTGGACCCTGCATCTCAGCCCTTTCTGGAGTTGCAGCCACTGCTCCTGCTTCTGTGTCCCCAGTTCCAGAGGGAAGAAGGTTCTGAGTCAGTATTTTGAAATGATGAAAATGCCAGGAATTTTTTTTTAAGTTCAGAATGAACACAAATCCCTATTTGCATCTCCTTCCACATCTTCCTTGATGAGTGATACGGGCTTTGCAAGTCACTGATCGTGACTGTTGGGACGTGGGTGGCATCCTCCCAGGCATGAGTGTGTGTGATTCTGTGCGACTGACTTAACACCAAGAGGAAGAGGTCCCTTCAGGACAAGTTTGTGCTCTGTAGCAGGTCTTGCAGGCTTGCCAGGAACTGGCTGGGCCCACCTGGAGCTCCTCGCTCCGGCTCTACTTTGCCCTCTCTGCTCAGCGATTCCTGCAGGTGATCCCCACCGATTCCTGCAGGTGATCCCTACCGATTCCTGCAGGTGATCCCCACCGATTCCTGCAGGTGATCCCCACCGAGTCCTGCAGGTGATCCCCACCGATTCCTGCAGGTGATCCCCACTGCTCCCTTTGCTTTTGTACAACTATTTTGCCTGGAATGTGCTTTTTGCCAGCTCTCTGCCAGAACTCTGCAGCTCACAGAGGGAGTCCCCTATGGTCTGTGGCACTCACTGCCTCAAGTGAGCCTTGGCAAGGTGGGACTAGGTGGTCTGCTTACCCCCTCCTCCCCCTCACCATCCTCTTGGAGGTCTATGTCTCTCATCCCTGTTTCCTTAGCATATAGCAAATGCCAGGCACAAAGCAGTATGGGTGGGAAGCAGGCTGAGAACTGGATAAGTAGTACCTCGACTCACACAATCGGTGCACTTCACAAACCTCTCCTCTCAGCTGCCCACCAACTGGCACCTTGACCCGAGAGGAGCTTCCTCTTCAACCCTAGGCTATCACCTGTCATCCAGACTTCAAGTTGACCAAGACCGCCATCAAATATGTCAGCGGAAGGAGTTCAAGTGGTACCTGAGCTTGTCAGCGATGAAGATGACCCTCCTTTCCAGAAGCAGGGAGGCAAAAACACAGAGCAGGTGGCGGATGCTAAGCGAGGAGAAGAGAGACTCGAAATCCACATGTTCAAGCCGGGAGTCCAGTGGGCGGCAAAGTTCAATCACCTGCAGGGAGAAGGGGACGGGCATGAGGAGGGTCCTGGCCCCCTCAGCCTGGGGCTCCCAGGGCCTTGGCAGGGGTGGCCCAGTGGCTGGGGCGGGGGGCGGAGAGAGAAAGGGGAAAAAAAGGCAAACAGAGGGATGGGGAAGAGAAAGGCTCCCCTGGCGGTGAAGGACCTGGACTCCCCAGGGGGGTGAGAGGACTGCTCAAATGCCCGACCCTCAGAGTCCCACGGGAAAGCACCTGTCTTGGGAGGCTCGTGACCTGCCGGGGTGGAAACGCAGGCAGGCGGGCGACCAGCAGGTCAGACCACTTCCGGGTGCGTGTGCAGCTTGTGTGCTGAGTGGGAATCTCTGCTTGACCCCTCCTCATTGAAATGTTCCTGAATTCATCTCCAGGCGCTACCCGTGTGCACGCCTTTCTCCTGAGCTAGTGGACGCCTTCCTGGTGAGTGGACACTGCTTCTGACTCCTGGCTCTGCACCTGCCCAGGGCTGCCCACACAGCCCTTGCATCTGGCAAGGGACCGATGAGGGGGACTGCTGCGCTCTGTGCTGGGGAACTGCACTGTTCCAGAAGAGCCTGGCCTGTCTGCACCTCATCCTCAAGGATGGGATTCAGAACTCAAGGCTGAATGGGACTTGCCTTCTCGCGCACACGCTATCACATAAAGGGACGGGAAGGATGAAGACAAACTCCTTCATCAACTCCCAGCCACATGAGGAAAGCCTTCAATGTCTAGAATGAATGAGAAGTAGTACCTTGTCTTCCCTGAAAGGAACCTGTTTTACTTTATAAAGTTAGAGGGACAGACAAAAGCGTAAATGCACTTGACTACATCTTGTGTGGGAGCCGAGCTACTGAGAGAAGAAAGGATGTCCCAGGGCAGGCCCCTAACCTGTGAGGCCAATGCAACACAAAGAAAGCCAGGTGCTCCCACGGCCTGGTTCTGGGGGTGGCTTCTGGACTGGGTCCTGTGCTGGGGGCTGGACTTGGGGTGGAATTTAAGATGGTAGAGGGGCAAGAATTCATCTTGATAGCCCACCGGAAGCCAGGCCCTGGGGTCACAGGGACTGTGCTGTCTGGGCCACTGAATCCCCTAGGAGAGGAAAGGACTCTTACCTCAGTTCCTGAGCCTGGCAAGAAGTTCTTGACCATGATGGTTTTGCCCAGGGCTGGGAAGGGGGCCTCCATGACACTCCTCATGAGGGGCTGGACCAGGGCAGGAGAGATGCCTCTCCGTTTCTCCACCTCATCCAAGATCTACGAGGGTCAGAAAAGCAGTCCGCTATGCTGGGGTCAGGGGACCAGGTGGAGCTCTGTTTTGGTGAGGTGGGCCTGCTACACTGTGGGGCCTGGGGATGAGAGAATCGTGGGGGCCCTGCTGTCCTCATCAGATCGACTCACAGTCTTCCACTCTCTGTGTTATTGCCCCAACCCTTCTCCCCTCTGTAACCCACTCCTTTGCTAAGTGGCTGGAGTTCTCCCACTAAAGGGGGACGTAGGTGATATGACTTTTTAGGCATAAATGAAGCAACATCACCCCAATGGGATAAAAATTGGTTCTTGGGGGTGGTGATGAAAAAGCTTAGCCATTATGGTTTGTAGCCCTTTAAGGGACCACAATAGATGAACAGATACATGGTATATCCACAGATTTAAACTCTATGGGGGATAACCATCAAGGAATGCAAACCCAAACCACATGAGATACCACCTCACATCATTAAGCTGGTCTACAATAAAAAGACAACAACAACAAGTGTTGGCAAGGAAGTAGGGAATCTGGAACGCTTAACACTGCTGGTAGGAATGTCAAATCGTGAACCCTCTTTGGAAAACAGTCTGGCAGCTCCTCAAAAGGTGAAATATAGAGTAACCCTACAACTCAGCAATTCTACTCCTAGTTACCCAAGAGAAGTGAAAACATGTTCATGCAAAAACTAGTATATTAATGTATATATGGTATATTAATAGTATAGCATATTAATATTCATAACATAGTATATTAATGTTCATAACAGCATTATTTTTAAGTCAAAAAATAGAAACACAGTAATACCCATCAACTGATCCACTTATAATAAACTGTGATATCCATATAATGGATTATTACTTGGCTTGGCCACTGAGCATCATGTTCTTAAAGTTCATCCATGTTTTACCTTGTACACTGCTTATGGGGATGCGAACTGGTCCAACCACTACGGAAAGCCCTGTGGAGGACCCTCAAATTATCAAAAGTGGACCTACCATTAGACCCAGCAATTCCACTCCTAGGAATCTACCCAAAGGACACAAAAACACTAATTTGAAAGGAAACCTGCACTCCCATGTTTACTGCAGCACTATTTACAATAGCCATGATATGGATACAATCTAAATGCCCAAAAACAGATCACCAGATCAAGAAGATGTGGTACATATACAGAATGGAATACTACTCAGCAATCAAAAAAGATAAACTCGTGCACTCACAGCAACATGGATGGAGTTGGAAGGAATTATGCTCAGTGAAGTAAGTCAGAAGGAAAAGGAAAAATATTGAATGGTTTCACTTACAGGACAATTATACGGGAACCAAATAAGGAATCAGGAAAAAAAAGACAAAACTAGCTGGTTAATGATAAATCTGAGACATCCAGCAGGGGAGAGGTAGGGAGAGAGGTCAAAACGGGAGGGGAGAGCACAAGAGACTGTGGTGACCATATGGCAATTCCTGTCTTGATCTATTGGCCCATTTTCCCAAAAAGAGGACCAAATTAGAGTTAGATTTTGATAGATTCAGAGCACTATTACATTAAACCCCACACACATGCACACAATACATACATACACAGATACATATCCATCCATCCATCCATCCATCCGACCGTCCGTCCATCCATCCATCCATCCATCCATCCATCCATCCATCCATCATGGGGGCCTTTTTGTCCAGCAAGCATTAATAAGACAAAAGACAATGCTTAGAAGGAAAGTAAAACATAGAAAATTCTGGGAAGACCCTCTGTCCCTCCCATCTCAACCATGAAGAGACCATCTCTCTTCTCCCACCTCCTGGGTCCTGACCTTTACCAACTCTTATTTCCTGTCCCAAAGATAGAGGACAGAGGTAGGGTGAGGGGAAGAAGAAGACAAGGAGTAGGATCATAAAAGTACCATGTCCTCCTGGGCCCTGCCTTGTCCCCTATCACTCCCTTCCTTGGGGCCCAAGTCCTCACCTTTGAAAAGAGGCTGAAGCACCCCAGGCGGCTCACGATGCAGTAGACTTCGGGAAGACGTTTCCCTTTGCCACCAGGCTTCGAGAGTGAAACAAAGGACATGGTGAGTGCGATCCCCTCAGGGGAGGAAAGAACCCACTGGTGTTTGAGTGGTTCTCGGTTACCAGGTATTTCCACATACTGTACCTTTTGAAAACCCATTAGGTAAGTAGTGACTGATACCCCAGTTTACAGCTAGGTGACCCTTCTAGTCATGTAGCATATATATTTATATTTTTATAAATTTGGTTTTTGTATTTAGTTCCTTTTTTTCCCTCCCCACCCCTATATTTATTTTCTTACATTGTTAATTTCTGGACAGTATTTGATTTATCCCTCCAGTGTAGTCCCGTAGTTCTCCCACCACCACAGCACCCGTGATCCATCACCACAGTCCTCTGTGCTCTTCCCGCCCTGATTCTGACCTTCTCTCTCCCCCTCCCCTGCTAGATGCCTCAGATATGGTCAGCTTGCAAGTTCTGTCTTTTTCCTGACCCTTTGTTTGGTTTCTCTGTATTCTACGTATAAGTGAAACTATCTGATATTTATCTTTTTCCTTCTGACTTATTTCACTTAGCATATATATTTTTATTATGCAGACAGGACCAAACGAAGGATGTTGTGCACACAGTAGGTGCTCAACGTGGCCAATGGAACATGAAGCAAGGAGGCTTAACTTGTCTATCCAAATGACTGTAGTTCTGCTTAAGGAGTTACCTGGATACCACATGCCTATTTTAATGATAATTCCAAAGGAAAAATCTATATTAATACTTTAATTTTATCAGTGGAAATTATTATCCTGTTTAACTTTTACAATTATTATCCATACTTTTCATTCACAAATTTATTTATCTCATTCACTAATTTATTCAACAAATATTTACTGAATGCCCAGGCATTATTCTGGACCTTATCTATCAGCTGATTGCTAAGAGTCAGGTACACTCTTGGAGGAAAACGCTTAGCCCCTACTGAAGATTTTCAAAAGAATGGGTTTCAAAAAGACAAATTCTAAACTATTTTAGCATGGTTGTTTCACTGGAGCACTTTTCTGACTTTTAAAGATGATTACTCTGGAGACACTTTTTTTTTTAAGTGTTTTTTTTAATTAACCATTTTATTTTATTTTATTTTTTAAAAGATTTTATGTATTTATTTATTTATACAAGCACTGGGTACAGTCAGAAGCGCGGGAGGGTGAGAGAATCCACCAGAGCCAGAGCGGGGAGCAGAGCAGGCAGAAGGACCGAAGTACACTGCTGAGGGGAGCAGCGGGCGGCAGGAGAGGTCTGCGCGCCACGTGGGACCCTCCTCTGGTGGCCGGGGAGCAGCCGGGGATTGAACCAGAGCCACAGAGGCTGCAGGCAGCTTTGCAACCCAGTGCTCAACCGCTGTGCCACCTGGGAGGCCCTCTGAAGGAGACACCCTTGAATTATCTACGTCATCAACAATAACATCATCCTACGTGAAGCCTCAGCAACCATTACGAAGGTCTCTCTGATCTGCCAGGGTCTGTTTAGCATGATTTACTAGTAAGGACATTGGCTTAAGGAGAGAAAGGTACTTTATTATGTGAGGAAAACAATACAGTAACTGTCTTCTTCCCCCAGGAGACGGAGGTGTTAGCCCCTGTATCAGTAAGACTCAGGAGAGCCCCCAGATCTCCTTCCAGGTCTTTAACTCCCTGCATCCACCTGCTGCCTCCCTGCTGCCTGCCCCAGAGGCCAAGGATGCGTGCGGGCTCCACACAGAGCCGGAGCCGGCCGACAGCTGCGGGACTCACCAGCAGTCTTCGGCAGTAACCGAACCTTCTGCTCCCGTCTTCTCCAGTTAAGACAAACGAGAAGGTCTCACTGCGGGAGGGAAAACAAAATGCATTACAGAGCCAAGCGAGACAGGACCGGGGCGTGCTGCACCTCTGGTCACCCACGGCTTCGGAGTCCGCATCAGGGAGCAGGTGCGGCCTGCGTCCTGAACGCTCAAGTGACTGCCTCCCGGACTGCACACAACACTGCGGCCGTGTGCTGGGAGCGTGCTAGCGGCGCTGCCTCCAGTCAGCCGGAGCACGAGGAGGTGGTGGGTGACCCGGGACGTGACCCAGTGAGGGGGCAGGTGAAGCAGGCACAGATCTGTGTCACTCTGGAGCTGCACCTGGCGAGGCGCTCATGGGGACCTGTCCACCGTGAGGCCTGGACTGTCCTTGAAGACCTCGGGCTGACTTCAAGGAACACAGTGACCCTCGGACACATGCCTGCTGAGTCTGATCAACTGGTGAGATGTCTGAAAGTAAAAATTGTGCTGACAGCATGAGCTGCAGCAAGAGCGCAAGCCTAGCTGAGGCTGAGTAATGGCTGGGGGGCTGGTGAGGGAAAGTTTCCGGAGCGCTGGGCAAGAAAGGGTGACAGGCAGTGCTTCCCTGGAGTTTCCAAGACTCAGACTTACCTCCGTGCCCCTCACGAAGGCTCACCTGAAAAACACATTCCCAACTGAGCGGGAAGCCTGGGAATCTATACACTCAGCAGGATCATTCATACCTTCAGAGAAGTTTCATTTGTTAATTTTTTTTTTTTGCATAGAAGAACTGGGGTATAGGCCGAGGTGCTGGGGTGGGTGTGAGAGGATTCATCAGAGACAGAGTGGGGAGCAGAACAGGCAGACTGATTGAAATACACTGCTGAGGGAAGCAGCGGGAGAGACAGGAGAGGTCTGCTGCGCCATGTGGGTCAGCTCCTGGCCAGGGATCGAACTCAGGTCATGGTGGTGGCAGCACTGAGACTTAACCCCTAGGCCATCAGGGAGGCCCCAGGAAAGTTTTGAAAGCACCAGGGCAAGGACATCTCTAGGCACAGGCCCATCAGCATTGCTTAGCAGCAGCAGTAATTCTGGGGCTGCCAACTCTGACCACATCTTTAGTTTTCACTGTGGTCTTTGGGGTGGGGGAGGGGAGATGTGGCACACACCTGGTAAATTGCTGGACAGGAGTCCAGTCCTTGGCATCAGGGAAACAGAATTGGGGGATCGCCTTCAGTTGGTCCTCAGCCTCTCTCATGAACTTGAAAGACCTTTCCAGCTGCAGGGAGAAGAGTGAGAGGCATTGGAGAATGAGGCAGATGCTGGGGAAGGCCATGTCTCCCACCTTCCCACCTGGGGGCCCTCACCTTCACCTCTTTCCTTGGAAGTTTCCAGCTGTCTGCTGAGGCCTTTACCCCCAACTACAGTCAGCAAAGGGAAGTGCAGAGAACAAATGCAGTGTGCTTTAGATAAACGGTCTCTGCCTAACATTCTGTAATATAACTATCAATAAGGAGAAAGTCAGCAGTCCCCTTCCAGAAGACTCACGTATCTATAAGATCCTCAGATCTGGTCTTCTAGGCTGTGGACCCGGCAAAGCTGCCTATCCTCCTGGCAAAAATTTTAGACTGCTTTTTTTTTTTTTTAGCAAATACGTCTAGTTAAGTGAAAACACTTCAACCAATTTCAGAGCGTCCTGCATGTGAGTACTAGAAGGAAACTGACACCATCCAGCCCACAGTCTTATTTTCGAGATAAGGAAACAAGCCTGGGATGTGAAGTGACTCACCCAGGACCACGCACCAGTGTGGACCCTAGTTAGGAATAAAAGTGACCTTCTCCCCCCAACTCCCATTAAGGCTTTTTTTTAAATTTTAATTCCTTTTAAAATTGCATTATTTTGGGCCTCCCCGGTGGCACAGCGGTTGAGCGCTGGGTTGCGAAGCTGCCCGCGGCCTCTGCGGCGTCGGTTCGATCCCCGGCTGCTCCCCGGCCACCGGAGGAGGGTCCCACATGGCGCGCAGACCTCTCCTGCCGCCCGCTGCTCCCCTCAGCAGTGTACTTCGGTCCTTCTGCCTGCCCTGCTCCCCGCTCTGGCTCTGGTGAATTCTCTCACCCTCCCGCGCTTCTGACTGTACCCAGTGCTTGTATAAACAAAACAAACAAACAAATAAAAAAAAAAAAAAGAGTATTTAAAAAAATAAATAAATAAAATTGCATTATTTTTACTAAGGTAACTAAGGTTACAATACTAGTCCCACCTCTTCGTATGTATGTTACCCATTCCCACCACCAAATTACCCCTAATTTTCCACCATAGCCCATGGGACCCCTCACTACCTTGCTCCCTCCTCCTCCCCCCTCTGGAAACATCAATTCTATTTTCAGATTTCTGGGTTTGTTCTGGGTGAATTATAAAAATGACCTTGATCCCTAGTTTTTGTCTTTCTTTGGTTTATCTGACATCCCATGGAGTGGATATCATCTTGTTTAAAAAAAAAATGAAATAATAAAGTCTGACTTAGAGATTATATTCAAAGCCCTAAGTTTGCTTACTTTGTGGGTGAACAGGAATCTGGGCTTGTTAAAAAAGTACCCCTCCAGGAAGCATACTGTACTGACATGGATTGTGTACCGAGAAAGGGCAGGAGGGTGATTCTGCTCTCTGAGGGGGTGGGGCTGGCGCTCTATGTATAAGTCTGGGAAACAAAAGCCAGTAATTTATAATTAGCACAGTTTGCTTACAAATCAATACTTCCAAAGTGTTGGGCAGAATGGGTGACATTTTGTTGTTAATGTTGATAGGTTTCTAGGTTAAATTTCTTATTTAAATTATTAAATGAAAATAAATTATGCCAAAGTTACCTTCAGTAGTTTGAAGTACCACCAATTTGAAGCAAGTGGAGTCTGAACTTGTGAAGTTGGGAAACAGTAACGTCTAATTTAAATTCTGTTTTTAATGGTTTCAATGTTTTCCATTGATGTCTCACTCTTTCTAATAACCTATCTTTGAACCTCTGCTTTTTAAAAAAATTTTTTAAAGAATTATTTATTTATGCATACAAAAACTGGGGTACAGGCTAGAGGTGCGGGGTGGGGGGGTGTGTGTGTGAGAGGATTTACCAGAGACAGAGCGGGGAGCAGAACAGTCAGATCTACTGAAATACACTGCTGAGGGGAGCAGCGGGGAGACAGGAGAGGTCTGCTGCGCCATGTGGGTCAGCTCCCTGGCCAGGGATCGAACTCATGCTGCAGTGGCTGAGGATAGCTTCATAGTGCTGAAACTTTAAACTCTGGACCACCAGGGAGGACCCTGAGCCTCTGCTATTAACTGGCAGATAGTCTGTGAGGTCTACAGTCAGAGAAAGGAGGTCTCTGAAGAAAACATTCAAAGGAACAGAGCACCTACCTGATTGTTTTCAACTTGAAAACCTACTTCTAGTATGAGCCCCCTAGGAAAACTAATTTAATGAAACTGCTACCAATATTACTGGTTGAGACAACTCAATGAATTGATGACTGAAACACCATCTCCCTTTATAGACTCTAAGCCAATCATTAATTATTCCTCAGCTTTTCCTCTTCAGAATAAGTGGTTTCTTTTCCATATAACGCCTCTCTCTTCCACTCATGACCTAGAAGATTCCAACTGGTCTTGAAACAGTCTTTGAGTTGATGATTCATCAGCTCTGACTGTGGCCAAAGCAATAATTTTGAAGGGCCCTTGGACAGCCTTGAAGAGCAGTAAACACTAGCTGGGTGTAGTTGTTGGGAGGGTCATTACTCACCACAGAGTGAAGGACCCCAAACTGTAAAGAACACACAGGGAAGAAACAAACACATTTCTCCAAAGTGGAAACAGCATTGGAGAACTGAAGAGTGGGTCTGATAGGGACGCAAGTCCCAACACTTTCATGTGGCCTAGTCACCATTTGGATGCATCCACCGGTCCCAAGATCACCAGTACGACCCACACAGATGAGCACCTGTGCTGTCAACACAGGAGTGACCGAGGCGCATGTGTACACACGTGTTTTTGTATGCACCTGAGCACATTGACAACAGTGGTACGCGGGGATCTCTCTCACAAATACAACCAACCACAGATGGCTAGAAAGATCCCAGGGTCCGTGAATTGTCATAAGGGTAACTGAGGTATCACACATTTTAAGGGAACATGGCTGACATGATCTCTTACATGTGGTGTGTCAACCTTGACTAAGAGACTACAGGAGTGGGGTGAAGCTCAAGAAAAAGTTAGAAGAAAGGAGGAGGAAAAGGTCTGACCAAGAAAGTGAGTGAAGGCAAAGAGATATAAATAGCTGGACATGCAAAAAAGCAGGTACAGAATGATGACCACAATGTTAAAAATTCATGAAGAAACACTGGCCGCAAGCTACGTTTCCAATGGTTAAATCGATCGGGGTCTACCCAGCTAACAGACCATTATGTCATTTAAAAGATGATGCTTCAGAGTTTATGTTAACTATTTGCAAATAATGATACATTTAGCAAACATGACACAAAATTAAATAACATACAATCCCAGTGTGGTAAGAAAAAGACACTGAGAAAAGAGTGGAAGAAAACACAACAGCACACTAACAGTGATGGTCTCTGTGGAGGGCCATTATAGGTGTCTTTATATGTTTCTGGATTAGTTCCCTTTTTAACAGTGATTATGCAACTTTCCCCTCAAAAAATCTTTTAATGTGGCTGTCTAAGCCTCTGGAGAGTGCCTGTGGGGAACCATGGGGTGGGAGGCTGCAGAGGCCAGGCCCGCCAGTACCTTCAGAGGGAACTGCTGGGTGAGCTCCGGCACGTAGGCGGCCCCGGCCTGCTTCTTGTGCAATGACACGACCACGAAGTATTCAAAGAGCTGCCTCTCCTGGTACTCGACGAGCTCCCGGTCAAGGGATGGGTATCTCGGTGCCTGCTTGAGGCGGGATTTCACGTTGACCAGGCGCTGGCTGTGAGCTGGCGAGAGAGAGAGCCTGACGTGGGGGACCTGCACAACGCTGCACGAGGGCGCGTGATTCTCAGCTTCAGCACTTTTTCTAATCTAAAAATGTGTTCCCACATTTAGTAAATTAATACAAAACTCTTCTTTCGAGGATCCTTGCCAAAATTCTGGGAAGAGCAAGATTTGACATGCCACCAGGCTAACTGCGGTGCAGGGGCCTGGAATGTGGGGCCTCTGCTCTGCCATGGATCTGCTGGCTGACGGGGCAGGAGGCCCACTGAAGCCCAGACTCAGATCACCCAGTCGGGACGCACAGGTCCAGGTGCTTCAACGACCTCATGCGACAGATGAAAAAGTAGCGGTCCTGAAAGGTTAAGTGATTTTCTCGTGATCACATGGCAATTTTAACAGAAGGGGGTCAAGTGCCCCAGGCCTCTGGAGTCCCAGTAGCGCTGAGCCTTCTACAGGTGTGGAAACACCTAGGACATAATGGAAAGACCTGGAAACGGGGGCCCTGCTATTGGGGCCACCCTGGCTCTCTGGAGTCATGGACTTGGTGACAGAGGCCCATTCTGGCCAGGCACGCAGCTGACCTCCTCTGAGCACCCTGTGGATGCCACTGTCCCCACAGACAGACACTCACACCTCTCCCGACAAGCTCAGACAAGCTCACACAAAGACATTCTGCCTGGTCCCTCGAGGTGGGCAGCATTCTAGTCACCCGCCCGCACCCTGCACAGCCACGGCTCCCCTCACCTTTCAGCTTCTCCTCGGTGTCACTGTCAGACTCGCTGTTCTCATCTGTCACTAGACCAAAAAAAGGCAGAAAGTTGTAAATGTGAATTCTTCTGATGCAGGAAACTTTTTTTTTTAATTTATGCATACAAGAGCTGGGGTGGGGAACAGAACAGACAGAGCTACTGAAATACACTGCTGAGAGGAGCAGCGGGGAGACAGGAGAGGTCTGCTGCGCCATGTGGGTACCTCCCTAGCTGGGGATCGAACCTGTGCTGCAGTGGCTGCGGATAGCTTCATAGTGCAGAGACTTAACCCCTTACGCCACCAGGGAGGCCCAAGGAAACTTTTTATATGTGGTAGCACAAGTCCAAGACAGCTCAGAGAGAGTGCTTTCTTCTTGCCTCTTTAAAGGGAATGGCTAGGGCCTCCCCGGTGGCGCAGCGGTTGAGCGCTGGGTTGCGAAGCTGCCCACAGCCTCTGCAGCACCGGTTCGATCCCCGGCCACCAGGCAAGGGTCCCACATGGCGCGCAGACCCTTTCTGCCGCCCGTTGCTCCCCTCAGCAGTGTACTTCAGTCCTTCTGCCTGTTCTGCTCCCCGCTCTGGCTCTGGTGAATTCTCTCACCCTCCCGCGCTTCTGACTGCACCCAGTGCTTGTATAAATAAATAAATAAATCTTAAAAAAAAAAAAAAAAAAACCCACAACAGTTTAAATATAAATAAATAAATAAAGGGAACGGCTCAATGATGTCTGTGCCCGCCCGGTTAAACAGATTTCCAAACTGACTCAGCCCTAGTTCTAGCACGGACATCAAACAGCACAGCCAGAGACGCCAAGAACAGGCCTCGGGACCGGTCAGAGCACGCAGCACTGACCCTGCTTGTCGGCTGGGCATGGAGAGAGGACGCGCCTCAGGGCTGACCCCTGGGCTCCTCGGCGGTCAGTCCTGGGGAGACATTCATCAAGCACCCACTTGTACTCCTCCTTGCGAGCCACCCACAAAGAGGCAGGAGGCATCCTTGGGGGAGGAGGCCCGGCGGTGGGTCCTACCTTTTCCCGAGTTGCTCTCTGTGGACTGCGACAGCCTCTTCACCCGTTTCTTCCCTCTCCGGGCCTCGTAGATGGCATTGATGCGCACCACCAGCTGCCAGACACCGGAGGAGAGGCGCCAGCGTGAGCAGCCCCACCCGTGTGCAGCTGGGCCTCCTTGGCTGGCCATCTCCCAGGGCGACGGAGGGCCAGGGACACGGGAGGGGGGAGATGCTCCCCAAAGCCCTGCTGGCATCTTTCACTCTTTCTTTTCTGCCAGACAGGAATGGAGCTGCAAGGACACTAATGGAGGCTGCCAGCCCCACTGACGTACGGGTGCGTGGCTGAAATGCAACATCGCGTCTAGCTGGGTGGCAGACCAGCGCAGGGTGGGATGCTGGCTCTCCCTCTAGTACTGTGATGTCACCGTGGTTTGGAATTGCATTTCTGTCCTCTCCCCACCACAGAAAGTTCCCAGGCAGGACTCCTTGGGTGGGATCCATGCCAAAGAATGTCTAAGCAGCCCTAAGGTGAAGCCACCTTCAGTCCCTGCACCCAGGACTCTGTCCTTTCTGCAGAGGCCCACTCACTCCAGGCTGGCGACTTCTCTGGGGCCCAGAAGTCACTTCCCTACGTAGAGGCCCCTTCTAGCACAGCCATCATGTGGCTGAAACCTGGGGCCACCTACCAGGCCTTTCCGGCCCACCCAGGCCTTTCAAGAGCAGAAAAATTCTGAGTTCCCCCTGGCTGGACTTCTAGGCCCAGGGTCACTTTGAAGAATGGGATGAAAACTATAGACAATCTCTGTCCTTCTGATGAGGGCTGCCTTAGTGCACAGGCTCCACACGGTGCCACCTCGACCTTGACAGAGTCTGGGTCAGCACAGGATACAGAGTTCTGCCGTGCGAGGACAGGAGGGAGGGTGCAGTGGGCTTTTGAGGCTGGGCACTGGAGACACAGATGCGTGATCTGGAGGAACGGCTAAGAGGAAGGCGACCGGTCTGCCAGAGTGATTATGACAGAGGCCCTGGCACCCCAGCCTGCTGACTTCACCACGTTCCCCTGGCCTGTGACACAGTGGGTAGAAAGGCCCAGTGATTTGCTCTCTGCCAGACCCCTCTGAGCCTTCCTCTGAGGGAAGGTAGCACAGGTGAGCATGAAGCTTGTTACCTTGGGTATCTTTCTCTTCTTCCTGCCATTCTGTGGGTCTCCAAGATTAAAGAAAGTGTCATCAGGGCTGCTGGGGGTGGAGGGGGGGCTGGTTTTAGAAGGTGACCCAGTTCCATCCCGACTCAGCTTCCTAGTGTCCAGCAGTTTGAAGTTCCTCCTCTCGGAATTTTGCCGGAAAAAAGCAGGTTTGGACAATGACTGCTGTGAGGGGAAAGGAGAAAAGGGTAAATGAATGGAGGGGTCCAGGTGGGGAGTGATGGCGTGATCCCAGTGATCAGGAGTAAGAAACCGAGCCGCGCAGCTGGCCCGGGATCTGGGGTGTGTGGAGTTAGCTACACCCATAAGGGCTCCCCATAAACACTTGTCCAACTGTGGAAAATTCCATCTGCAATGAATTCCAAGGAAATGGCCCTAATTCCTTTGCTGCCTTGGAATCGCATATCCACTTGTTGGCAACAAGCTGGTATTTGTTTTTATTAGAGATTTAGATTGTGAGTGTGTACCCGAAGATGTTACTTGTGAAAAGGTTTGAGAAGAAAGAAAAGCAGCAAGCAAGCAAGACACAGCACAGCCCTTTCTAAAGCAAGTGGAGACCAGTGGAGGCTGAGTGGGATCACTGGGCGCTTTACTCCAGGCTTGTCAGGGGAGACTTTCTGAGCTTTTGCTCAGAGAGTTTTCTGGACCACAGTGCAGCTACCCTCCATCCTCCATCGGGTCCTGGGGTGACCTCCTCTTTAAACTATAGGACAGGTCAGGTAACCTGCTGCGGGTCACCTGACGGAATCCAGCCACAACTCCTCTTCGTCGCTGTCTCGGCCTTTGAGCTACTATGCCCAGAGTTGAGTGGTTGTGACAGAAACAGGATGGCCTACAATGCCCGAACATTCACAAAGCTGGAGAACAGCGCTCGGCGGGTGTCCTAGAGCACCCAAAATAAGCCACCAAATGTCTAGGGAGCTTCTGTGAGGGGCTGGGGCTGATGAAAGAGAAGACCGGGTGTGCTCCAGGGGAGAGGTGAGCAGGTGAAGAGCACACTCTGGGGACAGGTGGGGAGGTGAGGAAGCGAGACCAGACCAGGAGCATCTTTGTAACTTGGAGAGAGGGCTGGGAAGCAGACGGAAGACATCGAATCATCCTTAGAAGGTCTTGGCAGTGAGGGTGCAAATCATGGACTTAAGGGGTCAGAAAGCTTTTTCTTAAAGGCCAGAGAGTAATTATTTTCAGCTTTGTGAATGTTTGGGCATTATTAGAAAAAGAAAAAACACAGGTGATCATAAAGAAAAAGGAAAACCCCCTAATTATGGATGAGTTTCATTATCTTCAATATTTTGCTTTAAAAGAAAATTTTAATAGTGAGAATGTTCTGTTTTAAAATATAAGGTATGTTTCTTAAAAACATTAAAAAGTGGGCCTCCCTGGTGGTGCAGCGGTTGAGCGCTGGGTTGCGAAGCTGCCCGCAGCCTCTGCAGCGCCAGTTCGATCCCCGGCCGCCGGGTGAGGGTCCCACATGGCCGCAGACCTCTCCTGCCGCCCGCTGCTCCCCTCAGCAGTGTACTTCGGTCCTTCTGCCTGTTCTGCTCCCCGCTCTGGCTCTGGTGAATTCTCTCACCCTCTCGCGCTTCTGACTGTACCCAGTGCTTGTATAAATAAACAAACAAATAAATAAATATTTAAAAAAAAAAACATTAAAAAGTATAATTCTCTGTCTGCAGCAAACACACAAGTAAAGCCCCTCAGGCGCGTGTGTGGTGCGTTTGTAAGCATCAGCACCTGCTCCTTTCTGAGGAAAATCTGTCCACCGGCCCTCACCTGTCTACCGGGACCAGGCACAGTCTAATAAATGAACACCCCAGAAGACGGCACAGGGCCTTGCTGTGGCCGGAAGAGGAGGTCGCCACGAGGGGCTGCTTCAATAAGGGCTTTGGTCCAGATGCAGCCCAGATGGGGCAGATTCTCTATGAATATTTGATGAGCTAAATGGAGGAAGTGGGACAGTCTGCAGCTGTCCCCCAGAACAGGGGCACGAGCCAGACACCCAGATGTGGGAGAGCAGAGGCATGAGCATGGGCAGTCCTGCTGACCATCTGCAAAGGCAAATGGCCTACAAGTGTCAGCGGCAATCGGACATGGGCGTGGGCAGCTGGACAACCCTGCAGGATGCTACCTTTGGGCTCAAGTTCTCGTCGACACGATTGCCTACTGTGTTTGGCTGTTTGGGGAACAAAGGATCTGGGTTTTCTCTCTTGGCAGGAAGGAGGGAGAAAAGGGCTGGTAAGTCTTATTTTCTGGTATTAGGGAGGAGCACCCAGCTCTGACTGCAGCACTGCTCTGGGCAGCTGGTTTTCATTGTTCCTAAGAGGCAATGCACTGTCCTCCCAGAAAGAAGTAAGAGCAGGGAGAGCAGGGCGGGCGGAGGATGTGAAGGGGACAGACAGGCGTGACAGCCTTCCTTCTTGAAAGATTGCCTAAAAGTTAAAGACCTCCATCTGACAATGGAAACACAACGAACACCTTTCCAAGGCAAGTAGAAACTGCTAATTGTCGGTTGCCATGGATCATTCATGATAACATGCTTTTCCATAGGAGGAGAAAACAGCAGTTGATGGGTTGGACAAGTACTGTAGCAATTGATTTGAGTCAGTAAGAACAATCCTTCATGAAGGGTCTATCTTCAACACCTTCAGGAAGGCCGCTGCAGGAAGATTTCCCTTTGCAACTCTTCATCAAGCACAAAGACAGCCCACCCACCAGCCAACGCTGACCTTGCAGGGATCCCAGAGAGGGAGACCATGTCCTCCTGGCTGCAGACAGATCCTTCCCCGGGGATTTAAACTGACACCAGGAGCCTGGCTTCCCTGCATTTCATTTCATCAACAACTAAATATTGTATAACTACTAGTGGTTTGAGAAACAAAAGACAGTACTTCACCCTTGAACAGTGGGATTGGGGTGCTGACTACCTGCATAGAGGCAAAAATTTGGTATAACTTATAATCAGCCCTGAATACTCAGTTTCCAAATCCAGGGAGTCAATCAAGCATCACCTGGTTGGCTGAGTCTGTGACTGGGGAACCCAAGGATAGGAAAAAAAACAACATGTGTAAGTGGACCATTATCATTCAAACCCCCTGGTTGAAGGGTCACCTATATATACTTTTGAACCTTCAGAAATTTAAAATTAAATTTTTAAAAATGTAATTAATTTTTTTTTTAATTTTTGTGTAGAAGAACTGGGGTGTAGGCCAGAGGTACAGTGCGGGGATGGTTGTGGGTAGAAGACTCACCAGAGACAGAGTAGGGAGCAGAACAGGTGGATCTTCTGAAATACACTGCTGAGGGGAGTAGTGGACAAGACAGGAGAGGTCTGCTGTGCCATATGTGGGTCAGCTCCCTGCGGTGATAGTGCTGAGACTTAACCCCTAGACTACCAGGGAGGCCCTGGGGATATTTTTTTTAGATATGCCACATGACTTAAATCAAAATTCAAATTTTCATGGAGCTGTCATAAGGCAGTATATCCAATTAGGTGTGAAATGAAAGCTTAGCCCACCAAGTATTATAGAAAGTGGAGGTGACGGGCTGACCTAGAAACTCCCTGAGGAAGGATGACTGAGCTGGGCCTGGAAGGATGGGAGAGGAAGGTCCAGGCAAAGCCTAGGGCAGAGGCCGAAATAACTTAGCATAGGAGAGGGCAAATCATGGCCCAGGGGCTACATCTGGCCCACCACCTTTTAATGAGGAAGCCAAGAGCTAAGAACATTTTTTACGTGGCTGAAAAAAGGCTATTCATATTCACAACACATGACAATTGTATGAAATTCAAATGTCAGTGTCCATAAACAGATTTATTATAACATTCTTTTTTTTTCTTTATAACATTCTCATTTCATGCATTTGTCTGTGTTGTTAATGGCTGTTTTGCCCAGAGTAGTTAGTTACAACAGAGATTATATAGTTACTCACTGGCCTTTTAGAGGAAAGGTGTGCTGATCCTGGGCCTATCACATCCAAAGGGCAGCTGTAGGCTCTGGCTGGAGGGGAGCCAGAGGAACTGTGGGAAATTAGGTAGGAATGGGTGTGCAGAGATCAGAAGGCTACTGAGTGGCAAGCTAAGGAATGTGAACTCAGTCCTGCAGGCAGTGGGTTGAACGAATCATGTCCTAAACGCAGTTATATTTTCTAAATGGACATAGTAGTAAAATCCAATGGGACATTCTGTTACAAATGTCAGTCTTCAACCCTGACCGCCACGTACTCAGACCCTCAGACAACTCCACAAAGGTGCCCACTTACTCATCCCCCAATATCCTCACAGAGGTATTTTTCCACAGACACAAACATATAAATGTTTACACATGTGTGTGTATAAAAGTCTTTCTTTTACAAACCCACTAATGATGGAATCCTATAAAAACACTGGTTCTGAATTGTGCCTTCGGTCTTATATTTTAGAGCTTATGAAGGGGTATTTTTCTTAACCACCCAGTTTGGGGAGGTTTCTGATGCAGAAGCTAAAACGATGTTGGAGGAAGTTTATTGAGCCCAGGGGGTTCCAGGAGGACTCGAGGCACGAAGGCGGGAGTCAGTGGAGCCCAGAACCCAGACTGCTCTAGGCCAGGGTGCAAAGGGTCCCCCTCTCTCTCACTGCTCGCAGGGTTCATACCTTGGTGGATGTGTCAGGGATGGAAGAGGTGGGAGAACTAGGAAAGTTCAGGACACACTTCTTCCCCAGGCAGCGACCGTGTAACTCAATGTCCTCATAAGGGTTTTCCTTCATTGGCGGATCTGCGGTCAGAGAGAGTGGATCAGGAATTAGGGACACTGAGGAGCTTTTCCGCGGGATCTATACCCAACATCTTGGCCTTTTCCTTGCTCTCATCCCCTTCCTCTTAGTCACAGGTCTTGATTTTTACTGGGGTAACCCTGTGGCCCTACTCTCAGACATGCAAGATTCGCTGTGCTCCCCCTGGTAGGGCTTCAGCCAATCAAAGTATTCTGAATATTCTGAATCCCTGCCTCCACGGAGACCAGTTGAGGGGGAGGGAGCTCCCAAGTTAAGCCAGTCACTGCACAGCGTGCCTGCATGCGAGGTGAACAAGCTGTGGAGAACGCTCTGGTCAGAGTGGGCCTTGGGAGTCTGGCAGGGACCCACAGGACACAGGGTCCCCTGTCCCCCAGGGAGGGGCACATTCCAGGGAGCCATTGGCAGCCATTGTGGGGTCATGGGCCCCCTGCTGAGAATGGAGCCAACGTGAGACATAAGAAACTTAGGAGACAAAGCCATCCTGGTCCCATGAGCTAAGTAAGTCTCTTCCTTTTTCAGCCAGGTCTCTGTTCCCTGTACTGAGAGCCTCCTGGGCAGCACACCTGGCTGAGAGAAGTCACGTCCCACATCCACTCTGGATCTGGGAAACCTGCTTTGGCAGGGACGCAACGCCAGCAACCTGGTTACTGCCGTGTGAACAGTCTATGGTGCAATTCAACAGCTCAGCTCAAGCACAGGCCTCTCCTCGTGTCTCCTGGTGCCGTGGAGGTTGTGGGACTGATGCTCACGTGCACGGATGTATGTGCATATCTGCCCTACTTGTCCCTTGCATGTGGACATGTGGGTTTGCCCCTCTCACCCCTTTCTCAACCCCCCAGCTCCCCATTCCCCTAGCTCCAACACAGGCAGACACCGGTCTGAGCTCACACTTCACTGACACCTATGAACTTCCCTAGAGATTATGTCACTCACCAAACGCAAATGCAAACACACTGCATCCGAGCCACCCTTTGGAATCTGCGAGCTGGGCTGCAGCTACTTTTTAAACAAGAGATGTTCGTTGTAGTCTGAATTTTGACGGTTGCTGCTACCCTCCTGCAGTTTCCAAAGGGTGTGGTGGTCTTCGACCTTGCATGCAGTGAGCCCCCCGATGCACCAAGCATTTGTTACGAGCCAGGTGCTTTTCTTCTGTCTTCTCCAACCCTCAAACAACCCTGCGAGGTAGCTATTATTATTCTTAATCCACAGGTGGGAGAAAGGAAGTTCAGAGAAATGAAGTCACCAGCTCCATGTCGTGCAGCTGGCCAGCAGCAAAGCCAAGAGTCAGTCCCCCCTCACCTCCTACCCATCTTCACTGCCACCACGGGTCACTCTCCCACCCACCCACCTGCCCTGCTCTCTCATTCGAGAACAGCACGTGTGCTTCAAGCCGCCAGCACCATGTCCTCTCCCCTCCCACAGACAGACTGACACACCACGCCTCTCACCTAGGATGTCCTCGTAGACGTTCTCTTCCGATAAAGTGCGTGTGAGCCCCAGCTTGGTCTGCGCGTACCAGTCCACCCTGCCGCTCTCGGACGAGGACTGCAGCAAGTCTTCAAACTCATAGGACTTTCTGGGTTGCACGAGAAAAAAATCCAGGCATTTGAATCAAAGAAGGTTGGTTCGGAGAATATACAGCCCAAATGGTTTTGTTTTTTTTTTTTTTAAGCAAAAATGTTTATTATTGAAAGCTACCGTTTCTTGCAAGGTGTGAAAATCCTCAAATGTGAGACATGGCTTTTACTTGCGAGACATGTCTGTGCTACTATGTTCAGCAACGATGGGAACGTGTACATGTGAACTACATCCCAACGTTGTGAGCACATTCACACACAGAAGAGAGAAAGGAGGGAAGGAAACGAAATCTGCAGCTGCTGTCTCTGCAGATGACAGAGGACGCTGGGGCGGCTGAAAGCTCCTCTTCGCTTTCACTTTTCCGTCTGTTTCCAGTGTTCCATGATGTCAACAGGGCTTACATTAGGTCATTAGAAAGAAGCAGTGGCAACCATTTCAGAGCTGACTGAAGGCCTGGGCGCCTCCCTCGCCTTCACCACGTGGTGAAGAGCAGCAAGAAACCCAGAGGCGAGCTGAATGAGACACCCCACCCGCTCCTCGGAGATCTGCTCAACTGAGACTGGGTCCCCGCGTGACCTGGCTCGCTCTGTGGCTTCCCAGCACCCCCACCGCACCCCTACATCCGCATGGGAGAGCCTTGCTCTGCTAGAGTTGGTGCTGATACAAAGTCCAACACACACACACAGTCACCTCAGGTCTCCCTGATTTGGTGACTTTACTGAACATTGGGGAGGTCATGAGGTGGGTCACAGGGTGAAACACACAGAACAGCTACCACCTCACAGGTTCCTCTCTCTGCCAGGCTTCCATAGGAACCCTGACTCTATAAAAGTCCCCCACCCCTTTAAAAGCCCAATAGCCCTGCCCACCCTGGCTCCATGGGGTCACCTTCTACCCCCCAAGCAGACTGTCAGGAATTTCTGCTGAGCACACCTGAGCCTTCCTTGAATAGGATTCAGGGAGCATGCAGACCCCCCTCCCCATGTTAAAAAGGACACATCGGGCCTCCCCGGTGGCGCAGCGGTTGAGTGCTGGGTTGCGAAGCTGCCAGCGGCCTCTGCGGCGCCGGTTCGATCCCCGGCTGCTCCCCGGCCACCAGAGGAGGGTCCCACATGGCTCGCAGACCTCTCCTGCCGCCCGCTGCTCCCCTCAGCAGTGTACTTCGGTCCTTCTGCCTGCTCTGCTCCCCGCTCTGGCTCTGGTGAATTCTCTCACCCTCCCGCGCTTCTGACTGTACCCAGTGCTTGTATAAACAAAACAAACAAACAAACAAATAAATAAAACATGCCTCTATTAAAAAAAAAAAAAAAGGACACATCCCAGGTGACCACAGCTGCCTCTGGCCCAGGGACCAGGCTCCTCTTGCCTCTGCGCAGGCGTCTAGCACAAAGTTCTGTGTAGCGAGATGGCACATCGCGGGTAGCTCCTTAGAATGCACTACGTCTTTGCTTCTCCAGCCACACTTCCGAACACTGACAACCCTGGGGAAGGTGCCCTGGGATTAGACACATTTGGATGCCGACATCAGCCTTTGACCTTGGACAAACCACTTAAGTGGGCTGAAACTCAGGGCCCTGCTGTGTAAAACAGTCCTTATCTCACAGGATTGTCCAAGGAACAGAAAGGAGAATGTTTGTGAAGCCGCTGGCACCTGCTGTCAACAAATGCCCGCTCCTGCCAGCGCTGTCACAGCGCCACGAGCGAGGCCAAGAGCACCTGCTCACAACCAACACGTACTGCTCAGGTTTCCATAGTGAATGGGGGACCAAAACAGTCGGTACCCCTTCCTCCAAGAGCTGCTATTCCAGCAGACACACATCCGCCAGCTCGCGCACAAATAGAATCATAACCTTTGTGACACTCACTGAATGGAAAGAAGAGGTGGGGACAAGCAAGACCATCCAGGGGGACATCACCTGGGAAGGCCGCACTGAGAACATCATTTATCCAAGTGAGACGGAAGGAGTGGGAAGAGCATTTCAAGAAAGAGGGAAGGGTGTGTGTGGAGGCCCTGTGGCCCCAGAGAGTGGATGTGTTTGAAGACACAGACAGACAGACACTGAGCAAGACCAGGTAGCAGGGGTGGGAAGTGCCTTGCGAGAGATGGAGGAAGCAGTCCACTCATCTGCCTGCTTTGCCAGTTTGGGGTACTTTTGTGTGGGTCTGCTAGACTTAGGGGGCCTGTTTGGCCACCATTCCCTGTTACCCACAGTTCTGCATTCCTGTACAAAGGTCAGAAGTGCCCTTCAGAAACTGGTCCATCAGTCATAGGAGCCAAACCTTGCAAGGTGCCTGTCAAATCAATCAAGAGCACAAAGCTGGATCTCGCTGGGAAGGCTCTGCATCACGGGGTATGACCGGGATCACCAGGGGGGCCGAGGACCTTTGTATGACAAGGGACCCCAGAAGCTGATCAGTGGAAAGCTTGGTTGCTAAGATTAGAACAATGGCCGGGAGTGTGGGACCTGGTTTCGATGACAACACTTGGTCATCAAGCAGATAACAATCATCTGGTCAGCAGACTCATGTCCCCCCAAAGCCCTGGATGACAAAAGCACATTCTGTAGTTTCATCCATCTTTTTCTCCTTGTCTTCCTACCCCCACGTAACTGATGCTGTATGATTCTTCTATGAAAAGGCCAGGATCTTGCTCTTCAGCAGCATCCTGCATTATGCAGCTTGCTCCACGGTGCCCATTTCTTTACCAGTGTGGTGTTGCCCGACACGACACTTCTGGCATTTTCCCTCTTTCCAGCACCGTTATCTTCTTTCCCTCTTTCTTTATACACGCCCGGGTTCCTCTATCTTGAAAATCCTTCTAGTTCTACTGTTTCTCACCTTCCTGGCCCACAAGTTTAACCTGGGGAGTGGGGAGGAGGCACAGAGATTGGCGTGGTAGAGCTCACCACTTCCCTGAGCCTCCCGCCTGCAGTCCGTGCCCATCTGTTTTCTAAAATCGCCCTCTGCGGGTCTCTGGGACATTCTGGTAAAACCTAACCACTTTCAGGGGGGTCTCCCTGGTGGCGCAAGGGGTTAAGATGCAGCACTATGAAGCTAGCCACAGCCACTGCAGCACGAGTTCCATCCCGGGCCAGGGAGCTACCCACATGGCACAGCAGACCTCTCCTGTCTCGCCCACCACTCCCCTCAGCAGTGTATTTTGGTCAATCTGCCTGTTCTGCTCCCCGCTCTGTCTCTGGTGAATCCTCTCACCCCTCACACCTCTGGCCTGTACCCCAGTTCTTGTATGCATAAATAAATAAATCTTTTTTTAAAAAAACCTAACCACTTTCAGTCCTTTCTCTACATGACACCACCTGCTTTCTACAGTGTCAGGCAGCAGGGCCCCACGTGCCACCTGCGGGCTGGGGTGTGGGGTGAATGTCACAGGTCCTGGATGACATGTGAGCAGACACTGGAGGTGTTTAGAAATGTTTCAAGCAACTAATACAACCCGAGGCTTGCAAATTGTTAATTTAATCTCTCTGGTCTTTCTTTTTTGTTATGTTTTACAAATGTATTGCTCAGCAAAGGATTAGAAACACACAGTCCTCCAGATGGTTTGAGAAGCTCCGTGCAATGCAAAACTCTTATTTAATTTACAAGAGAATTCATGGCCAGGCTTCTGGAATAACAACTCCAATTCTGTATTAAAGTCTTGGCTTTCAGGTGATTAATTCCCAGGCAAGAAGCCCAAAGGACAAAGAAACTTTTTCATGCCATGAAACTGTGCTCCACACACGATCCAGGGGCAACCAGACATTTTAACTTGCCCAGTTTCTAGAGCCACCGGGAAAAGAGAATTCCAGCGACCAAGGCTGATGTCTCACCACGGGATGGTACCGCAATTGTAAGCACTGGCTGTGCGTTTCTCCTCAGGGTTACTTCTAGAACCTGTTCTGCACAAGCTGACCCTCTGCCTCTGGGACTCAGGTAGCTGCTCAGCCTCCTCAGAGAGGAGAAACACAGTTAAATGAATCATGCGACTGCTTAGCAGGTCTTTCCTATACAAATATTTTTTTAACTTGGAAAAAGTTTTAATACCTTTATTTACATATTACCTTGGAGAGAAAGGGTGAGTGACAACCACACTTCAAAGGGTGAGTGATAACCACATTCAAATTGGCTTCCCTGCCATTTCAGCATTTCCAGATTCACTGCATATCCAGCCTCGGAGTTTCCTAAGCACCCCTAGGGGCTGAGCTGGGCTCACAGCAGGTGATACAAAGGCAAGAAGTCCCTGCCTTCAAGGATCCCACAGCATGGTGAAGGGGTGTAACCTCCTCTCAACCAGAGTTTGTTTCCTGAGCCCTCAAATTGCTATGTAATTTGAATATATCTTCATTGTACAGATGGTGGAATGTTCTGTGCAATCTATTGAAGTTTGCTGAAGTGGGTTATAACTCTGTTTTAGCCAAATTTCTACAACCAGTGCCACATACTCTAATTTCAAGTATTATTTTGTATGTTATTTGTGATGTTTCCCTATTTTTGTAAATGAAATTCTGACTTAAGATTCATTCCCTGTTTCTGTCTGGCTGATTCCCAGGAACCTCAGTATTGACAAGTTCAAAATTAAACTCACATTTCTCTGCCACCTCAGCCTCTCCTCCGGCACAGTCATCTCAGCAAAGGCCAGATGACCAGACATCCAAATGTTTATGCCTGAAGCCTGCAGGTTCTGTCCAAATCTCCCTGTTCCTCCCACCCAAGTAGAACCATTTCAAGATTTCTACCTGCAAAGTGTTCTTGGAATCTACCCACCTCTCAACCCCCACTGCCACCCCACAGGGTCACCCCAATGCCTATTCCTCTCCCTCCACCTCCCACACTCCTCTCCCTACCCACCCTGTCTCCTGATCACCCTCCAATCTCCATGCTGCTTCAGAGGTGAGCTCCTAAAATGGCAATTGAAGCCTGTTTGTCTTCTCAAAAACCTTCAAATGCATCCTGTTCCTCTTAGGTGAGCAGGCTGAGATCCTATCTGGTCTAAGGGTT